TATCACATCATAAACTTTTGTTATTGTTTTGATGTGAGAGACTACAGTGGCAGCAAAACTCTTGGTTTTTCCGTTCTGGGCTCAGTCTAGGCCTAGACTAGAACAAGAAAAATCTTGGAAGTGCTGACTGAATTCTGTCATGAGAGATGTGATCACGGACACGTTTCCCCTTTTTAGCAGAAAGATTGGCCTTTGGAAAAGCAGGTTTGATTTCGGACAGCGTGGGGAAATGCACAATGAAGCTGCGCAGCTGTGTCTCAAAGAGACGGAGCTTCGCACAGAATGCTTTCATGTGCGCGTAAAGTTGCGGCGCAAGCTGGTCTTTGCCTTGTAGGTTCTTGTGTGTTAAGATGATCAGTAAGATCAACTAAAAATGCCAGGTCTGCCAACCATAGAGGGTCACTCAGCTCATGAAGAGGTCGGTCAATGTTTTTCAAAAACTGGTCGAGTTCTGATCTCAAGGAATAAAAACATGCTGCAGCACAGCTCCATGACTTGCCAGCGCACTTCTGAATGGTAGAGTAGGTCCCCGTATTCAGCATCGACATCAGATAGGAAAGCTTGAAATTGTCTGTGGTAGAGCCCTCGTGCACAAATTATGTTGACAGTTTTCACAACAGTGTTCATTACATCACCAGGCTGGACTGTCTTGGCACAGAGGGCTTTTTTTACAGTCCATTTTAACAGCCTCACCTCCACTCTCTTGCACCTTGGCGCACACCATCAAGGCCATTCCTTTGCGCTCGCCTGCCATTGCTGGAGCCCCATCCGTTGTAACTCCACACAGCTTGTTGCATGTTAGTCCCATCTTGTCAATTGCATCTGACACAGCTTCAAAAATGTCTTTACCTGTTGTTGTGCCCTTTAGACTACTAAGATCAAGCAGCTCCTCCGTAATGCAAAAGTTATCGTCAACTCAGCGCAAAAAAATTACCAGCTGTGCCGTGTCTGTGGCATGGATGCTCTCATCAAATGCAATCGAGTAAAAATCAAAAGCTTTATCTGACAGTTGATGTTTTACGTTAGCTGACAAGTCTTCGATTCGCCGCACAACTGTGTTTCTGGACAGGCTAACGTTGTTGAATTCACACATTTTTTTCGGGGCACATTATTCCTGCTACTTTAGTAAGGCACTGTTTTATGAAGTCACCATCTGAGAAAGGCTTCCCGTGTCGGGCAATCCTGTGTTTTGTTATCACGGAAAAAATATTAGCAGGCTGCCATTTGTTTAACTTTCTGTTCTCGCTCAGCACCAGTATAGGACATGTAGGTCTGATGTTTGGTTTCATAGTGTCTTCGTACATTGTACTCTTTCGTCACTGCAACAGTTTCATTGCAAATCAAACAGACACGTTTCCTCTTAGCATCTGTGAAGAAATATTCATCTTTCCACCTTGTCTGAAATTTTCTACACTCACTCGCTATCTTGCATTTCTTTGGTTCTGTCATTTTGGTCACTTGTGGCAAAACTTCTTTGATTAATCCTGTTTTGTAGAGAAGCTGCCATGTTAAAGACAGTAGCTCCACCAAGCGTTAAAACTAAGAAGTACAATACAGTCAGGAGCAAGTTCAATGTTTAATGGTTAAAGAGTTCGGTCTAGACCTGCTCTATTTGAAAAGTGTCCTGAGATAACTTCTGTTATGAATTGGCGCTTTACAAATAAAATTGAATTGAATTGAATTGAATGTGTGGGCCATATTCAGGGCATATTCATTATATTTTTTAGAATTTGCTGCGGGCCAATTAAAAATAGATCACAGGCCGCAGTTGGCCCGCGGGCCGTAGTTTGAACACCCCTGGTCCAGGGTATCAAAAAACACAATACTTATTTTTTTCTTTCAAATCTTACAAAATAAATGTTTTTAAAACCACAGGTCTTGTGTTAAAGAGAAAACTTGTAAAACTGATTGAATGCTGATAATTAATTGTCAACCTTGTGTCCCTGTGGCCATTTCATAATATCCCACTGGCGGAGATGTTGTAGAATGATCTTGTCCTTTGAGTCCTAGGCTTTGGTAAATACAAACACACACATACACATATTCTGCCCTAAGATGGCGCTTTTGTGTGTTAATTCAGTTTTTGGCTGTGATACCCGGGGCTCTTTCACTAGAGAAGAGCTCATGAACATCAGGGGAATAACTCCAGCTGATCTCTTTCCCACTTTTCTTCTTTCTTCCGTGGAATTATTGGACATTGTGGTCAAAGGTGCACTCACCTTTGCTCACGCAGTGAAACGCAGGAGGAGAGGGAAACGTGCCGGTGCACTTGTGCGTCTCCGCCAGCGAGGACATCGTACACCGTTACCTGGGATATTCCTCTCCAACGTGCGTTCACTGTGCAACAAAATGGACGAACCTCAGCTACTTCTGGGGAAAAACAGTGATCCTCTGTTTTATGCTTCACAGAGACGTGGCTGGGTGGATCGATACCGGACTCTGCGCTGCAGCTGGCAGGCTTCCAACTCCTCAGAGCGGATCGTGACACGGAACTCTCCAGCAAATCGAAGGGCGGAGGTCTGTTTTAATATCAACACTAGCTGGTGTAATGATGTGACAGTGATCCAACAACACTGCTCTTCTACTCTGGAATATTTTATCATAAACTGCAAACCTTTTTACTCCCCCCGTGAGTTTGTTTCATTCATTCTGGTCGGTGTTTACATTCCCCCGCAGGCCAACGTGCAGGACGCACAGCGCATGCTCGCCGACCAGATACTGTGTGTGAAGCGGACTAACCCGGACTCCTTAGTTATTGTCCTTGGTGACTTTAACAAAGGAAACCTCAGTCACGAACTTCCTAAATACAAACAGTTTATTAAATGCCCGACCAGAGAGAAAAACATACTGGATCACTGTTACACTACAGTCAGCAGAGCTTATCACGCTCTCCCCCATGCCGCACTGGGCCTCTCTGACCACTTCATGGTCCACCTGATACCTTCATACAGGCAGAAATTAAAACTCTGTAAACCTGTTGCGAGGACATTAAAGCAGTGGTCCAGTGAAGCTGTGGAGGATCTCCAGGTGTGTTAGCAGGTGTGTTGGACTGGGATGTTTTCAGGACTGCTACTGAAAGTCTGGATGAGTACACAGAGGCTGTGACATAATACATCAGCTTCTGTGAGGACTGCTGTATACCATAACGCACCAGGGTGAGTTTTAACGACGACAAACCCTGGTTCACAGCGAAACTCAGACAGTTACAGTTGCAGAAGGATCAAGCGTTTAGGAGTGGAGACAGGGACAAGTTTAAGGAGTCTAAGTACAAGTTGAGGAAGGCGGTGAGAGAAGCTAAACGATAGTACTCTGAGAAACTTCAACATCAGTTCTCAGCCAACAACTCTGGTTCTGTCTGGAATTGGCTCAGACAGATAACAAACTACAAGCCCAAAACCCCCCACTCCATCAACGACTTGTGCCTGGCAAATGAGCTGAATGAGTTCTACTGCCGCTTCGACAGACAAAGGAGCAGTGACACCTGACACCTTCAACAGCCCCACCTCACCAGTCCCTCCCCCCCTCCCCCAGCTCAGCAGGAGCCGGGGCCACTCCACAACTTCACACCTATGTGAATCCCTCCTCCTCCACCACAGCAACGACTCTCTGCCTACAAGAGAGGGAAGTCAACAGGCTCTTTAAGAGGCAGAACCCCCGCAAAGCAGCCAGACCAGATTCTGTCTCTCCATCCACCCTGAAGCACTGTGCTGACCAGCTGTCTCCGGTGTTCACAGACATCTTCAACACCTCATTGGAGACATGTCATGTGCCAGCCTGCTTCAAGTCATCCACCATCATCCCTCTCCCCAAAAAAGCAAGGACCACAGGACTCAATGACTACAGACCTGTTGCCCTCACCTCTGTGGTCATGAAGTCTTTTGAGCGCCTTGTGCTTTCCAACCTGAAAGCCATAATGGACCCACTCCTGGACCCCCTGCAGTTCACCTACAGAGCCAACAGGTCTGTAGATGATGCAGTTAACATGGCCCTGCACTTCACCCTCCAGCATCTGGACTCCTGGAACCTACGCCAGGATCCTGTTTGTGGACTTCAGCTCTGCGTTTAACACCATCTGGTGCAGCCAGAACAACCTGGAGCTAAACACTCTAAAAACATTGGAGATGGTTGTGGACTTTAGAAAGAACCCAGCCCCACCCGCCCCCATCATCCTGTGTGACTCCCCAGTTGACTCTGTGGAGTCCTTCCGCTTCCTGGGTACCATCATCACCCAGGACCTCAAGTGGGAGCTGAACATCAGCTCCCTCACCAAGAAAGCTCAGCAGAGCATGTACTTCCTGCTGGGGAAGTTCAACCTGCCAAAGACGATGATGGTGCACTTCTACACCGCCATCATCGAGTCCATCCTCACCTCATCCATCACCATCTGCTACGCTGCTGACACTGCCAAGGACAAGGGCAGACTGCAGCGCATCATTCGTTCCGCTGAGAAGATGATCGGCTGCAACCTGCCATCCTTCCAGGACCTATACGTCTCTAGGACCCTGAGGCTTGCAGGCAAGATTGTGGCTGACCCCTCCCACCCCGGCCACAAACTCTTTGAACCTCTCCCCTCTGGCAGGAGGCTACGGTCCATCAGGACCAAAACCTCTCGCCACAGAAACAGTTTCTTCTCGTCTGCAGCTGGCCTCATCAACAAGGCCCGGACCCCCACTGTCACTGACTCTCATACCCACCCTGTATATATGCATTACATTAATGCACTCCTGTCTTCTGTACAGTTTTCCTATCTTTTCTTATCTTTCTTATCTTTATTTATCTATATATTTTTTAAAAGTACTTTATTCTTGTGTGATTTTTGTGTGACTTGTATATTTTTGTGTTATTTATATATTTATCTTTTTATTTTTTTGTGTGATTGTATATTTTAAGCACCATTGCACCAAGACAAATTCCTCGTATGTGTAAAAACCTACCTGGCAATAAATCTCATTCTGATTCTGAAATCTCATTCTGATTCTGATACAACTAAATGAACTCACAGCAACATTATAGATTGCCATGCCCACAGCTCGATGGTCATTGATCTTCTCCGTAGAGATGGACTTGGTTTCATAGGCCAGGAAGATGCCGAGAAGCAGCAGTAGGCCTTTATAACCGTACACCACACCTAAAGAGACAGACAAGATAGCAGCCATGAGGATTTATGGAACTGTTTGTACTGCAGTACTTTAAGCCATACCATACAGGATTTTTCTAAAAAACAAGGTTTAGACTCATATAAACATAATCCCTCTCAGTCATCACTTATGACCCACTAGCAGTGTATGTCAGTGTCTGTATCTGCAGGGACCTGCAGCCCTCTGTATTTTCTTATTTTGTTATGTGCAGGATGTTTCTGGGTGTCACCCCTTTGGGCAGTGTGCAGGGTCTGAGTTCAGGAGTCGTGGCTTCACTTAAGGAGAGCTGTCACTTTGTCCATCTTTATATGTCAATGGATTGGGTGAGGGCAGGCAGGATGAAACTGTGCAATAGCTGCATTCACACAAAATCCAGAAATATGGCTCCTTCCCGCAGGGTTGCGCTTTAGAACGGAACTGCTATAAAACAATATACTGCTCTGCTTTTGTCGTTGCGCCCTCTCCTCATTCATTTTCTATTTATCTCAAATAAAGGTGCTCTCTCAGGCCAACTTTGACTGGTGAGTTTACAAACATCCACAGACAAATACTGCATAGTATGTAGGTAAGACCATACCTGTGATTTTACGTTTTCCTTTGTATGTTACATTAAATTCCTAACTTCTAGGCAGACATTTGTGTCAGTTCTTGTCAATATGTTATGAAAATTAAAGACTTACCATGACTCAAGACTTGTTTGAGATGTATCAGAAACAATGACAAATTGTTCCTTATGATGTATCCATTATTTTTCACTATAGCTGCTTTCCTCATTTGGTAATTACCAGCGGCTAAACCAAATGGCTTTTAAATTAGGGTTAGTAGGATGTTTGGTTGAGAACTGCTAGTGCGGTCGGGTTTTGTTGGACAGACTATACGTATAGTGTAATGTAGAAATAGAGATGCAAAGAATTAGAGAATTGACAGGAACAGTGATGCATGATTTGCTTGGTATTCCACTCACCTAGCCAGGTGTTCATCTTTTCTGAGCTGCAATGTTCCAGTAAAGGCTGAATCAAAACATCCAGGTCTCCTTTGGGGGCTTCTCTGGTGAATTTCTACAACATGAACACATGGTGAAAAACAGCACGCAAATATACATTTACTCATATGATTCTATTTGTATACATTAACCTATATGGAAGCCGGTGGCTGACAATGAAATCATCAAACCAAACGTAAATCCAATTCCATTTCATTGTACTTTTTGAGACCCAGTTTCCTTTTTCATTTCATGCCAAAATGAAAATGTGTTGAGACAACTTTATAAATAGATTGTTATTTGACAGAAAATTAATTGTCAACAAATTTGATTGTTTAAAGGACCAGTATGTAGGATTTAGTGGCATCTTGTGGTGCCTCATCCTCTATTTGCAAGCTTGTAGGAGAAACTATGCTAGCGGTGAAAAACGCAAAGGACCCTATCCAGAGCCAGTGTTTGGCTTCTCCTAGGCTATTGTAGAAACATGGCAGGTCAACATGGCTGACTCTATAGCAAAGGGCCCACTCCCTCTGTAGATAAAAACAGCTCATTCTAAGATTACAAAAACACTTTTGTTATTTTCAGGACATTATAGACTAATGAAAACATACCTATGAATATGATTTTCAGTTTCTGCCATATTCTGTAAATAGAGCCACCTAAATAGTCTAAAAGTAGAACAGGAGCCAGAGCCTTCAGTTACCAAGCTCCTCTCCTGTGGAACCAGCTTCCAGTTGTGGTTCGAGAGGCAGACACCCTCACCACATTCAAGAGTAGGCTTAAGACATTCCTCTTTGATAAAGCTTATAGTTAGGGCTGGATCAGGTGAGTCCTGAACCATCCCTTAGTTATGCTGCTATAGGCCTAGACTATCGGGGGATTTCCCATGGTGCACTGAGCTCCTCTCTTCCTCTCTCTTTCTGCGCTCATTCATGTCCAATTAATGCATGTTACTAACTTCACTTCTTCCCTGGAGTTCTTGTGCCCTCTCATCTCGTGGAGCCTCCTGCCATGGTCCTGCTAGATTGCCATTGCCAATACTGTTGTTGTCTGTCTGTCTGACTGTCTCTCTCTCTGTCTCTCTCTCTCTCACCCCAACTGGTCGAGACAGACGACCACCCACCTAGAGCCGAAGGATCTGTCCTAGGTTTCTGCCTTTTAACAGGCAGTTTTTCCTTGCCCTTGTCGCCAAGTGCTTGCTCATGGTGGTACTGTTGGATCTCTGTAAATAATGTTATAAAGAGTTCGGTCTAGACCTGCTCCATTTTAAAAGTGTCCTGAGATAACTTCTGTTATGAATTGGCGCTATACAAATAAAATTGAATTGAATTTAATTGAATTAAATATTACATATTGGACATTTAAGTCATTTAATATGCAAAAATGCTAAGTTTTTTATTAAATGTTTTCATACTATTGTGTATGACATCTTAACATGATTCATAAAAACTAAACGTGCATTTGAATTGAACCATTCTAAAACTGAAAAGTTTAATAAAAATAAAATGGAAATGGCCTTCTTTCATTGTAATTTTCATAATGATTTACTTTAGAAGAGGCCTGAGAGCATCCTTCCATTGTAGGCATTTTTATGAAAAATGTGCTACAATTCAAATTCAAAATGATTAGTACAATTGAAATTATTTGTCAGTTCTTATTTTAATTTTGGCAGTAATTATGCATTTTCAAACAGATTTTTCTACTTTAGTTTTTTTCAAATGACAATTTTCACCATTGTCCGCAGTGGAATTTTATAATATCCTTTCACAGCCCTTAAAGTACTAGCTGAACTCAGTACAAATCCAATAAAGTGAATGGATGATCGTACCTCCACTGTGATATGTAAAGGATCTACAAGCTGCCAGATCATGAGAGACAGGATGTCGATGCTGAGCAGAACACCGACAGTAGCATAGAGTTTCCATGGTTCCAGGTGCTGCTGGGAAACAGGGGGGTGGTCACTACAACAGCACAGCGAAGGATCAGCAAAAAGGCACAAATCCTCTCTTTCTGATTTTGTGAGGGAGGGATTTATGAAGCCATAAATAGACTAGCCTAAGCCGTACGAGAAAACAATGATCCATCACTAACTGAGGCCAATTCAATCTGACCATACTGATGAGAGTGCACAGCTCCCTGACTCAGTCAAAAAATATAGGTGTTCCTTTATGTATTCCGTGTTAAAGAAATAAAGATTTTTTGGGAACAGGTCCAACACTATAAAGTGGTTATTGATTTTGTTGCATTATTCCCCAAGATCAAAGCTTTCTGGTTATTCAGCTAGAATATGGAGAGAGATGCAAAGACAGCAGTGGGATCTGATCTGTTCTACACCGTATATCCACACAATCACAGCAACACTTGCAGTAGTTATCCTTATCCTCCCTTCTTTGTCAGTGTGTGTAACTTGGCAAGAGCTGTTTCTTAATGGGAAGCCTTCCAATGGCCAGGTGCCTCACAGTGGAAGGAATGGTGGGACTAACTACTGAGTATCTCTATGAAATTGTGTTCATATTGGACATATTTGCAATTAACTATTAATGCTAATGTTTAGGAAGCACTGTGTCCAATATGATTTTACAAGTACAAGTAAGTGTAAAGTCATATTTATTCTTATTGTTATTCTATTATATATTACCAGTACCTGAATTGGACCAAAAGAGGGCCCATCACCCCAATTCACCTCAACCCTAAACAAAACATAACCCTAACCTCCTAATGGCATTTGCAATAATCCACTGGGCCTGAACAAAAACCACCAATCAGAGACGAAAATTCGCCTTCCCAGTGTGTCAAATACAGATGCTCTGGAATCCTGGGAATGAGACACAACAATGATTGATTAATTTCTATCTCTTGCCTTGTCATGTCTTATATGTGTCTTCTTGTTAATCACTTATCTTCAGAGCTGCCCAGTTTCAACACTCTGAAAATAGGATTTTGTAAGTGCCTGATAGCTGCTCTGTTAGAAAAGCTTTCATAACAACGAATCTCATATTTATACTGCCATAAATTCCACAGCTGCTGGTGGATGCAGTCAAACACTTAATGACAGAGGTGTCCAACATGCTCACACTCTCTGGCTCTGTTCCGATTTTAAATGTTGAAGCGGTTTAGAGATAAAGGCTACAGCATTGAGTCAGTTAAAGTGAGCTCTATCAGTCCTGACACAGCCCTTGATAAAATAATCCCACCTGATGGGTTTTCTTCTGCTAAGGATATTATTGAATACTAAGAAATGGACTGTATCGCTCTCCCGGGAATATTTGCTCTGAGATGTCCTGTCTGACATGTCTTATTACATACAAGAGACAGGAGAGGCAGGAGGGGGGTAGAGGATGGAAAACTACAGAAGACCCTCTACTACTGGGACCAATTGGAAGAGTTTGCTGGCCCAGCAGCATGACAAATAGATGCTGCTCAACACTCAAGGGCAAGTAGCTATCCCACTGTGGGCCAGCTATAGAAGCAGGGCAGAGAGAAAATGTAAAAAAATAAAAAATAACGGGGAATACATAATCTCCAGCCGTGGAGCTTGCCCTTGAAGGGGATGATGATTAAGCACAGCCCAACCCCCTGTGGCTTGGCAGGAAAGCTTGGGGTGGACTTAATTGTTAATTCCTTGAACAATTATTCACAGCTTCAAATCCCTGTCACATATACCTTTCTCTTATCCTTCTTGTCATCCTTCTTGGTGAAGACGGTGTGGACCCACCAGATCTTGGTGAACATACTGCCGTAGGCGAGGCTGAAACCCAGGCCAAGCAGCCACAGGCGAAACTAGCAGAGAAAAATAGAAATGAAGGGTCTCATAATTAAACTGATTAATACATCAAAGAGATTAATCAAATCAGCTTCTTAGTCATTCTCCGTCATTAAGCCCTGCATGAGTTTAATAGTGTTTCAGAAATGACCTTGAAATGAAAAGAACCTTCTCTGAGGCTGTCTATCTCTCACCATATATTCTGTAATACAGCAGTGTTACTGTATGTCTGCCTTTGCTGTACAACAACAACAACAACTGACAAAATGAGGAAGCTTAAAGACTTAAAACTACACAATAGTTTAGGGGTTTAAAGTATAGATTTGTATAGCCCTGCTTGGAAGGGATTTGTAAACATTTTAATACATTACAAATGAGACAGAATAAATGCATTGCAGTTAACATGCTCCTTCTTACACGAGAGACAATTTAGCGTTAAGGGTCTCTTTTTTCCATTATCACCAAAACAAAGTTTTTGTAGATTTTATAAATAAAAAAGTAAATTTATTTGCGACCCAAATAAAATCTCCCCAGTCTCTGATATCTGATTGCGATGCAAAATTGACAAATGTCTTATTTCAGAATCACATGTCATTGTGTTTATTGGTTTTCCAACTGACACAGACAAAGAAAGACTTTCTGACGTAATTACCTTAGACCTCGCTCAGTTGCAGCTAAGTTGTTGCTGGAAAGTGTTTAATATTTGTGTCTGTCGTGTTCTTGCTTATGCTAGCTGTATTAGCATCCACAGCCTCCTCGTCACCTGCATAGGTGTCACCACGCCATCTCACCAGGTGAGACTGCTGTACTCACTGACAGATCTTACAAATTTGGTCCAAATTTCATTCCATGACTTTCAAATTGTACCTGGCAGACAACGGGGAACTGCCTCCTGTGGACATGAAGGCCGTCGATTCCCAGAGGGAAGACAGCAGCCAGGGCCATCATGCAGCCCACTGCGGTCATGTTGTTAAGGTAGGGCTGAGAGTTCTGAATGTACCTGGAGCAAGAGCAGAAATACATACATTCATGGCGATAACCACTACCATGTCCATAATCATACACAGACAATAGATTCTTACCATAGTGAAAGGAATGGAGAGCAATGGCTGCAAAGTTAAACTCAATCATATAAGAGTTCTTGTTGGTTCTGAGTCTTGGTCCTCAAGGCAACTGGACAGTCAGCTGTTTTATTATCTTACACAACAACTGAAATTTGAAGGGCTTTCATTGCTTACACTGATGACGCCTGCACTGCTTTCACCTGTTACATGTCAACTGACAGATTTCAGATCTCACTGTCCATTCTATGCATTAAAAAAAACAGCAACAAAAAACAACTTTGCTTCCAGTGGCAAAGAAGATTTGCATTTTCGCCTTGCATGGAGTTAAACATTGGTTAAAAGTGAATACAAACCAGCAAACTGATTTCTGTGTGCGGCGCATCCTCAATGAATACACACAAAAACACAACAATTCCTTATTTTCTGTTGATTATACTCTAATGAAAACATACCTATAAATAATATATTCCATTTCTGACTCATATACCAACTGACACTTCTGCTTGTGCAGCTTACAGTGCAGAAAACTCAATTCATCAGTTGTGCTTCAACTGACAACTGATGTGCTTTTAACAGTTAGACACCAGCCGACATTTTAACTGCTTTCATCTCCCACTCTGACATGTAAACAGCTTTCAGGACTGTTTTGAGTGACTTCACTTCCACAGGCACTTAACAACTTGACAAAGTAACCCCCTTTCTAAATCAAAGTTTTAGACTGACATCTTCCATCCAGGCACTGGATGTTTCGGTGTACAAGTAAAATACGTTCAGGTATTACACTTCAACTGAGACTTGAACTGCTTACAGTGGACAAACTTGGAACTGCAGGGCAGGAATTATGCCACGGCCAAACAGTAAGTGCCATGGATGCCCCGCTGTGCGGCACACACACCATATCTGTATCAATGGAACCGAGGTAGAGCGTAGGAAGCCTTGAAAACAGTTATTTGACATTTTGTGTCTGTCAAGGGCTATATCTCGCTGTGCACATAAAAACAGATACACAACGCTCCTCACTGTCATCCTCCTGCTGTCACCCAGTCCAGAATATTAGCTGTCTGTCAGGAATATAAACTGCAGTAAGTATGTACTCAGCTGTCTGCCTCATAGGAGTCACTATCAACATTCAGAGTTCTGTCACTGCATTTATATTAAAGTTGTGGTTTAGACCCTGACACAGCATAGGTCCCAAAAGATATTTTTTACAAAAGGACAACCTAGATTTACAGATTAGAGCCTGTAGTTCTGACTGGTTTTACTACACTAACTTGTGACTCAGTAAAGACCACAAGCCTTTATATAATGTATTTTTTACCTAAACCAACTGTTTTTGTGTTTTAAGTACTCTATTATATGCATTTTACACCATTCAATTGTTATCTAAATTAAATAATAATCCAGTCCTGCCTCCTTCACACATTACTGAGTTTCCTTCTTGGCAGTATTTTGTTTGAATTATGTTTGTGACCATACAGTATGTTTGATTACATTTCTACCTCATTTTAGGATAGCCTGATTTTTCTGTATTGATTATTGATTTATGCATTAGTTTCTTTGATTATATTGCAGAAAACTTTAAGTGGAATGGAGGAAATAAATGGACAATTTAAGTGTACTCCAACACATTGCTCTTTAAAACTACCGTACCGTTAATTGGCACTTCTTTACTAGATATAATTAATCTTTCTTTATTATCAGGATATGTACCACGGTCCTTTAAAGTAGCTGTAATTAAAACCCTTCTTAAAAAGCCCAGTCTTGACCCAAGGGTTTTAGCCAATTATAGACCGATTTCTAACCTCCCCTTTCTCTCTAAGATTCTGGAAAAAGTAGTCACCAAGCAGTTGTGTGACTTTCTACATAGCAACAGCTTATTTGAGGATTTTCAGTTAGGATTTAGAGTTCATCACAGCACAGAGAGAGCACTGGTTAAAGTTAATAACAACCTTTTAATTGCTTCCGACAATGGACTTGTTTCTGTACTTGTATTATTAGATCTTAGTGCTGCATTTGACACCATTGACCATAATATTCTTTTACAGAGACTTGAGCAACAAATTTACATTAAAGGAACCGCACAAAGCTGGTTTAAGTCATACTTATCAGATCGTTCGCAGTTTGTACACGTTAACAATGAATCTTCAATAAATACTACAGTTAGTCGTGGAGTTCCACAAGATTCTGTACTTAGACCAATACTATTTACTTTATATATGCTCCCTTTAGGCAACATTATTAGGAATCACTCCATTAACTTTCATTGTTATGCAGATGATACGCAGTTATATCTATCAATCAAGCCCGATGAAATTAATCAATTATCTAAATTACAAACATGTCTTAAGGACATAAAATCTTGGATGAGCTTCAATTTTCTGATGTTAAACTCTCGTTAAAAAACGAAAACTCTTGTACTTGGCCCCAAAAACCTTAGAGACTCACTGTCTAAAGATATAGTTACTCTAGATGGCATTACCTTGGCCTCTAGCACCACTGTCAGGAATCTTGGAGTTATCTTTGATCAGGATTTGTCATTTAATTGCCACATAAAGCAGACCTCTAGGACTGCCTTCTTTCATTTACGTAATATTACAAAAATTAGACACATCCTATCACAGACAGATGCAGAAAAACTAATCCATGCATTTGTTATTTGCAGGCTGGATTACTGCAACTCTTTATTATCAGGCTGCCCCAATAAGTCCATTAAGACGCTCCAATTAATTTGAAACGCTGCAGCAAGAGTACTGACAGGAACTAGGAAAAGAGATCACATCTCTCCTGTACTTCTCTGCACTGGCTCCCTGTAAAATTTAGAATAGAATTTAAAATCCTCCTCCTCACCTATAAAGCTCTTCATGGTCAGGCCCCTTCATATCTTAAAGACCTCATAGTACCCTATTACCCCACTAGAACACTACGTTCTCTGAATGCTGGGCTACTTGTGGTTCCTATAGTCTCAAAAAGTAAAACAGGACCCAGAGCCTTCAGTTACCAAGCTCCTCTCCTGTGGAACCAGCTTCCAGTCGTGGTTCGGGAGGCAGACACCCTCTCCACATTCAAGAGTAGGCTTAAGACATTCCTCTTTGATAAAGCTTATAGTTAGGGCTGGATCAGGTGAGTCCTGAACCATCCCTTAGTTATGCTGCTATAGGCGTAGACTACCGGGGGATTTCCCATGGTGCACTGAGCTCCTCTCTTCCTCTCTCTTTCTGCACTCATTCATGTCCCATTAATGCATGTTACTAACTTCACTTCTTCCGTAACTCCGTAACTGTTGTGGGTTTTGTGACCGGCTAAATTGGCTTTATGTTCGTCTGTATTTTGTTAAACATGCTCAGTAAATAATGTTTGTGTTGCTGTTAGAAAGAGCAGAAAACCTCCAAGCGAACAAACTGTAGCAGCTAATCCGCTGTTAGCTCGTTGAGCTGCATAGAACAGGTAAGATAACGTTAGATAGGTTTAATTGTCTTTAACCTGGTACAAATCTGCTGGGTAGCTAAGTATCTGTTCACCGTGTGGATCAATACAGCTGTGATCAGAAGAAGACACCGTACTGTGTGTGTAATTCAGCAGCGGTGGTAATTTGTTTGGTAGCATTGTAGCTTTGATTAGCACACAGCAGCTCTGTGATGTCACTGTGTTACTATAGTTACTGAGTCTGTCGGACTTTATGTTGTGATACGAGGGGCAGTGTGATCGTTAAGCCGAAGTTAGCCATTAATTAAGTTGGAGCCTAGGTTGGAGCCTGTTTTTCATGTTGCTTTTTGTGTAGTCCTTGTCTTGAACTTTCTACGTACATGCTAATGTCACTTCAGCTAGCGCTAGCTTTGTAATTCCAAAGCCATTTTCCAGCTCCGCTCAGGTGTGTGTGTGTGTGTGTGTGTGTGTGTGTGTCTGTGTGCTGCTGTATGTAAATTTACCGGAGGTAAAGATAGAGCTACCATGAGATATTATATTATACTGTATATTATGTGCTGTCTTACAAGTAACACTGAATCTGCCATGTCTTACAGGTGACCTGATGAAGCTCAGGTGTTCCTGGACCCATCAGAGGACAGAGACAGCTGTAGCATCAGAACACTTTGGGTATCCAAAGGAAGACGCATCAAGATGAACACTGACTGCAGAGCTCCATTACCAGCTCACACTTCAGTATACTAGAAACCATAAACCTTGATGGAGAACATGATCTGCACAGTTTACATAAAAGTTATAGCTTTGTTACTTACAACATGTGTAACTGGAATATGAATGAAACATAAATAAAATAAATAAAGTGTTTTACTTTTAAATTCAGTAATAAGTGTGGTTTTATATAAATAACATGTTATTTCACAGAGGTTTTATGAAGATTTCCTGCATGTACAAGAGTTGAAAACCTGGTTCTATCAATATGAAAATGTGAAATTTAAACCTGTAGTAAATGACTAAGCAACACAATACATTACTGTCTCACATTCAAACTTTATTATGTTGGAAGATAAATGACATCATAATATATAAAATAAAACGTAAAACATAATTGCAGCTTTTACAAAAATCTGAAGGTTAACTTTGGTAATAATACTTTCAAGTTAAAATATCAGACTATGAAATATGGATACAGTACAGTACAGTTGGTTACTGGGCAGTTTTTAAACCACATAAACAAGTTACTTTATTAGATCAGTAATTCCTTCAGTTATGTTGACATGTTGTACAGGATAAAGTATTCCAGGCTTATAATATGTTTAACTTCACTGGGCTGTGTAGACTGTAGGTCACTGCTCACTGCTGTACCTGTAAAGACAAGCATAAAACACAGTGTTGGTTCTCATAGTTAACGTATAAACACTAACATTATGTGATAGATAGAGGTTTTTATAGCAGTATTTACCTGAGGAAAACGTCACAGAAAGCTGTAATCCTGATTGTTGTTGATGTTAATTTCTCCGTGATTTCAGGTCAGACTCCCGCTCTAAGTTTTTGGTTTAGAAGCAGTTATTGAATTAATATTGAGCGTAGAAATGCAGATAAACTCAGTAGCAGTGAGGAGCTAACTGCCGGCAACGCTGAGCCGGAAATGGGAGGGGCCGGAGCGTGATCTGCGTGATCCGCGTCATAATGCTGACCAATCAGAGCAGACTGGGCTTTTCGGGAGGGGGGCCTTAAAGAGACAGGAGCTAAAACCGATTGATTCAGACAGAGGCTGAAAAGAGCTGCTCAGCTATAGGCAGTATGAGAAAAATAATGTGTTTTTTGAACATTAAAACATCTAAACCTATTGTAGTAGAGCCACAAAATACAATTATGAACCTGAAAAGGGGCATAATATGTCTCCTTTAAAGCTGCATTTGGTAACTTTTCTAAATGTTTGCTGAAACTTTCACTATATCCTGACAGTAGTACAGTAATCCGTGACAAAATCAAGTTCCTCTCGCTCGTTCTAGTGCTTCTAGACACAAGTTACTCTTTGAGGTTACCAAACAGCTTCAGTGGCATTACTACCATTCTCTAGTCCAAACTAATACGGATTGCATGCAGATTTGTGTTGTGTTGTTATTTTTGATAAAAGTTACCTACTGCAGCTTTAATATTGTTGTTATAATACACTTTTGTGTATTATGGTATAGTAGTATAATGGTTCTTTTGGTATATCATTTATACATACAGTATAGTGTATAAACAGTGGTTTCAGAATAAAAATACCATTCTCACCAATCAATATACACTCAATAACCCATAATGACAAAGTAAAAACATGTTTTTAAATTGTTTTGCAAATGTATTAAAAATCAAAAACTGAATTCTCTCATTTAAATATCCAGACTTTTGATTCAATACTTTGTAGAAGCCTCTTTGGCAGCAATTACATGGGAAATGGACTGTACTTATAGAGCACCTTTCAAACTACTCAAAGCACTTTACACTACATGTCACACTGACACACCTTCATACACCAATGACACAGCATCTTCAACCTCTTTACATCTTTAGGTCCTTATGAAGTTTGTTCTGCTTGATGAAAGTAATTTAATAAGAAATTAAGTGAGAGTTGGAACTTAATGTCTTTGATTTTACTGCTTGTGCAGACTTTACGGACACAATTTCGCTCTCTAACTATGTCCGTCTGTTGTTTGGTGCTGGGCAGGTAGTGTACTGTGGATTTTTTTTTAGCTTTTTCATTGAACTGCCTGCTGCTGCTACTGCTGAAAACCAGGGGATGAGAGCAGAGTTTGTGGGCCGTAGAGCCAAAACAAAGAGCTGAAAGATGCTAATATGCTCCTTAGGCCGGAGGGGAATTGCAGTGCTGGGTAAGAATTCTCTGTGGTTTTGTAGAGCAGAATAAGCAGAATCTTTTCACAGAAGACAGTGATCTGAGCCATTGTTCATTTTTATTTAAAGTTGCACTAACTTCGCTAAAAGTTGCATCTTGATCAACTTTTAGCGAAGGTGAGCTTTTGTACCTGACATTGCTGTTGTAGATGTTGAAGGTGAGGCAGACGATTCCCAGCAGGATTCCCAACCCAGCAAAGACAGACACAGACACAAAGAGCTTTTGGGAAAGGTAGCGAAATTCCTCGATAACTACTGTCTGGTCTGCTGGGGGTCCTGAGCCTGAAAAAACATAGAGATGATGGAAAGGATGAGGAGAACAGAAGAGATCGAGAAAAACTAGTGAATTAGTGGTGCAGGAAAACTAAATGCACCCTCAGTGTTTCCTCTGACTGCTGGTATATCAGTGCAGAGTCTAGCTATGCCCCAGCCTCCAATGTCCCACTGATGTTTGTAGTGAAGCACGCACATTCACTTAGTGTGGTACACAGACACAGCTCAGGACTGAGAAAAAAAACGCTTTTCACTTCTTGGTTCATTTCATATATTGACCTCTACTTTGCATTATTCATGAGCCATTTGCCAATTTTACAAAGCAACATTGGTATGATGAAGTGCATGGTCTGTTCAATGTGATGGAGGAGGCTTAGCCAAATGAGGCTGTGCAAAAACAAGACAAATGCACACCGACATGTCTTGCAAATAAGTGTAAAATGTAATTATCAGCTGTGATATAAATCTATAGATTGTTTCACCTGAAAGAATTTATTAAAACACCAGGCGACTATTTCTACAAGCAAACACGACAATGAAGTGTTATTTTGAGGTTGAGGCCATGATCTGATGAACAGTGAATTGTGATAAGATCTGATCGATAGTTTGCACCTGTGAACAACTGAGTCCAAGTTAGAGATTAAAGATAAGAAAAGGGACTGGCTGCACAATACACCTTAGATGTTTGGACCTCGTCACTCCCTGAAGCAAGCAAGAGATTGGGGAGTGAGCTGCAGCACAAATCTGAATGCAATCCGTCTTAGTTTGGACTAGAGGATGGTACTAATGGTAATCTCAGGGAATAATTTATGTTGACTAGCAGTTTAGTTATAACAATTTGGCTAAGTAGCTAACAACTATTCATAAAACTAACACATTTGTTGTCTAACCTCCTTCACTTATTGAGAATAAACTGGACTGGGCCAAAAACACTCCCTCTACAGGAAGGGACAGAGCCATCTCTGTTTTCTGAGGAGGCTGAGGTTCAGTGGTGGCCAGTGCCATCCTGTTTGCTTTTGTGTGCTGGTGCAGCAGGTTGAGGATTGCGGATGCTAAAGAACTCAACAAACTTATCCGCAAGGCCAGTGACATTGTGGGGGTGGAGCTAGACTCTTTGATGGCGGCGACAGAAAGGAAGATGCTGTCCAAGCTACATGTCATCTTGGACAATGTCTCCCACACACTTCACTGAGGGCCAATAAATGTATGCTAATGAACTTACCTGTTGTGCTGTATTGTGAGCTGAAGGAACCCACAGTAGTAGGGTTACTAATAGGGCAATACTATGGTTTATTCTGTCACTAATATTGCTCAACATTTTCTCAACATTAATAGTACTCATTATTACTATTTATTCATCACACTGTCTGTCATATACTGTAGCATACATATATTTATGGTAAATGGTAAATGGACCTGTACTTGTATAGCGCCTTTTTAGTCTTCCAACCACCCGCTGCTTTTACACCACGTGCCACATTCACCCTTTCACACACATTCACACAGTGATGGCAAAGTCCATTGAACAAAAACTAACATTAAACTAACACACTTACACTTGGAGCCAAGACCATCTAGTGTGTATGATACATATAGCTGTATTTCAAAGGGTGCATTGGATGTGAGAGTAGCTGCTGACTGGAGTAACTCTCAGTTTAACTTCATTTCTAATGAAACAACAATCTCGTCTGACACTGAGCATAAATATAATAAAAACAACCCACCCCTCAGCACGCAGCATCAATTAGTCTGCTGTAACAGCTTTACAAATATATCCCTGCCCAAAGCAATTAAGGCAAATAACAGCTAGTATATGCCAGTGAGTCTAAATGCATGCTAAATATAAATATACCAGTCATGGCTGTTATGACAAAGCATATAATGTAGAGAAAGAAAAAGCCTTAAGCCACTTAAGGTTTGAACTGGTGCTTCTGATATCTAACAGTGTTTGACCAACAAATAATAATAATATAACAATGGTTTGTGTAATCATTTGTTTTTCTCTTTGCCTCTGACAATTGTAAATTTCAGAAACTGCCCAATTTTGAAGTTGTTGTGCAACCGGAGCCCACAAAATTATGATGATGATTATGATATTGCCGCACCCCGCCTCCTCCGGTGCAGAATTGTGACATCTGTCTCACTTCAATGACATGAAAGTCGGATAAAATGTGACATGACCGTTCAGACTGTGGCCGCTTTGAAAAAACATCAGATATGTATCCGATTTAGGACCACATAAGAAAGTGGCCCGGATCGGATTTGAAAAAATTGGATTTGTCCGCTTCAGACTCACGATATGGGTCACATATGGGCAAAAAAGTCGGATTTGGGCCACAGTCTGAACTTAGTCTCTATAGTCATTTTACACATATTGGTGGTCGTTGGTTTCTCTTTAGGGTCATTTTGCATCTCTTGGTGGTTGTTCTGTGTCTCTTCAGGGTAATTTTGCATCTCTTGATGGTTGTTCTGTGTCTCTTTGTGGCCATTTTACGTTTTTTTCTGATCATTTTGCATCACCCCTCTAAGGGGGCCTTCTACCTTTTTTTTTAGGACCAAAGCCTGTGCCAGGTGGGAGAACATGTAGGGATTTGTGCTGCAGGGTGATATTAGCCAATTGCAAAGTAAATTTACAACATTGTGGAACATGTCACACAGGTGTTTACAAGACTTTTTAAGGTCCACATAATTAGGCATGTAGCTCCAGTGACGCAACTGACGATAATGTACCTGAGTAGGAAGTGTAAAAACCTAATACACTTATAAATAATAAATAATAAATAAATGTAACCAGAAAAATTATTTTGTGTGCAACTAGACGTGCCTTACCCTGCTTTGTTGAGCTGCTTATCCACAAAACTATTCAAATGCCAAGTCATGTGACACCTAAAACATTGAAAATGAAAAACAAATCAAATGAACTTGGCTGCCCTGGCTTTATTCATCCACTGAAGGGACAATCTCTGTGGTTCAGCAGTCAATTACTTTTTTAATATTATCTTATTAAGCCAAGACTGCAGCTCCTGGAGGTCTGGATATTTTTACACCTCAACAATGACCTTCTCTCTCATCCACCGTGTGGATCTTACATTAAGGCTAAGTGCAGCAGCTGTTTTGACACACGAGCCACTAATGCTACAAAACGTCACATTACATACAGTTTATTTAAATGGATCCAAAGGTGTTGGAATATTTCAGTCTGGACCAGAGTGATGGACTGACTCACCAACAGATAGACATCAACGCCCCTGGAGGAATGTAACTCAAACCCCAAAATGCAAACAAAAATTCCAAGTCTTTACCAGGACGTGATGTCCACTCTTATGCATGAAAGTAAGATATGCCCTGACCTCCACTCCATGGCTTTTTGCTTTGATACATTAAGGACACACTACTGCTATGACACTAAATGTTGGTAGATAGATAAATAGATCTATCTATCTATGACACTAAATGTTGGTACAGCAGTCCTTAGTCCAATGTATTACAAATGTGTTGGTTGACACAATATACTGGTGATTTTGATATTCCAAGAGCATTGGTAGCCCTCATGGTGGTATTACAGTATTGGTGGTATTTAATCACTCTTAAAGTAATTGTCGAATAACTCAAAAGGGCCACTACAACCTTGGATGTGAGACTGTCTAGTCATAAAGTTTAGCAGACCTTGAGCAGACTAGATTAGAGGGACTAAATTTGTGTTTAGAGAAGAAGACAGGATAGCTAAGAGGAACCATAAACACCCCTTTTTATGACCTTGTTTTTATTGCAGCTTTGCTTTACCTATACTGTAACAAATTGCTGTAATTTCTACAGTAAAATTTTACAGTAACTTCTTGTTCTGTCATTTTACAAAGTATAACTGTACACCGCAATGCATCATGGGTCCAAGATAATTACAGTAGCTGACAGCATTTTCCCACAGTAACATATTGTAAAATGACAGGCGACTTGTATTCTGACTGTAGATGATGCGTATTACAGTTAAATACTGTTGATATCGGATTGCATTAAATTGAAAGAGGAGCACGTGCACAGTTGATGTCGGAAGCAGAGGAGCAACGGTGTTCAAACACCGGCCACAAAGTCAGCTCTGTGGTGAGAACAATGTTTTATTTGTGTTATTGACTGTAATTACCCATTATTTTAGCGAAGCCGTGTTTTGAATCCGAACTGTTAGAAAGATTCAGTCTGTACCGTTTTGTTTTAGCAAATATTAACGTTAGCTAATTCAGCTAAAGCTAAAGCTAGCTAGCGTAACATGCATTAGTTACAACTAACGTTACAATACAATAGTTTGAAAAAATTCCTAATGGACCGAAAGCACATTGTCCTATGTGCCGTTATCCACTGCTCCGAAGGTCCATTGCTCCGAAAATACACACTCGGAGTTCAGTGCCTGCCGGCTACTTTCCAGACTCCGCTAACATAATGCTCAATTTAACAGATAACTTATATATCAAAACGTAAATCATAACGTATGACTTTGTATGACTCATAAAGAAAGAGTTTTAATTTCGGCTGAATTTTAACTTTACCAGCTCTTCTGTGAACTAATGTTAAGTTAAATAAACTTCAGTGTAACTTAACATAACGTTAATGTTTGAGGTTTGTGAAACATGGTGCCGAATTTATCATAAGAACTGTGTAAATTGTGAAAAGTCTGTTTGATAAGTTAATTTTCATTTTTAATGACTGATGAAGAGGCAAATAAAGTATTAAACTGTTTCCTACTGTCGGAGGAAAACCTCCATTAACGTTGACACATTTTGCATCATTTAGCTAACGTTACAGGTGCAGAGGAAAGCACCACCGCTGAAGGGACAGTGATCATCACCAACACACATCGGTGAAGACGATTTTCAGGTAAAAACATTTGGGCATTTATGTGATTGTGTCTGACTGTGTAATCATTTTCTGTGGCATTTGACAGATTTGGGATTAAGCATGAGCTCTAGGCTAATTTATCAGCTTAGTTAGTTCAAGTAAACTACTTTTGATAGCCTTGCTGCACTCTGCAGAACAGTTGGGGTGTGGGTAGTAGTTTTGGTGCCTAACCCTAACCAAGTAGTTTCTGGCAGTATGTTATGATGACTTTGGCTCTTACAGGTATGATCTTGTTACCCTCAACTGTTGAGCTAAGGGCAATGACTATGTCAATTTTGAATGTATTTTTTCTTCTTCTTTTAGGTGTTAGCAAGAGCAGCTGACATCAAAAGAACACTACTGCTTCCTGACTCTCCGAGACTAATTGTCTTAGGTAGTGTATACAGTTTGTTTTTTAAAATCTGTTGTAAAGCATTGCAAAGACTGAGAATATATGAAGGACACGTATTAGTTTAACAGTTTAACATGTGGATATGTTTATGTGGAAGGCAACAGATAAAATATTTACATATAAACCATATGTTTATTTATGTTTAGGTGAAGTGCTCACAGCAACTCAATGGATGCTGAGCATTGAGGGTCAGGTGGTTGTGCCTCCACATCCCAACTTTGTGGCTGGAATGGCAGCATTCTTTTCAAGCTATTACAACTTGAATCTGGTGTACAAGGAGCAAGCAGTCGGGAAATCTCCAACCAGAGTACCTGCTGCCTGAGGCTATGTTGATGCAATTATATTACTACTGGTCAGTAACTCATACAATCTTTTGACAAGAACTCCAAACTATCCCTTTAACCGTTATGACATTTCCACTGTATTAGTCATTGCATTGTAGAGCCACTTCCTGGTTCCTGCTCACTAGATAGGGATCTAGTGCGCACAAGATAGTATCTAGTGCTCACAAGATAGTATCTAGTGCGCACTAGAAACGTTTCATTTTTTTTTTTTCCCCCATGTCCCTTTAGGGGCTCCGTACAAAACACAGTTGATGAAGACAAACTATCCAGGCCAGATTGCAAAACACGCCCTTACTAACTTTTGGCTAATTCACAGCCTCACCCAACCATGGTAAAATTATTACACCAGTTCATCTGTGGAGGAATACATTGTGAGTGGAGACAAATTCCTATAGGTCCTGACTCTTCGGACCTCAAAATCATTTCCCAGGACCTTTCCAGGAGATTTTCTTGACTATATAGGACAGCACTTGCTCCTAGATTGTTACACCATTTACCGGTAGGCTTTGTATTGACTCCTTTTTTAATAATGTAGGGTTCACGATGAAGTGTATCAGGTTCATTACAGGTGGTGTTTATCGGACACTCTCCAACGGGCTGTTCGCCACAGCTGAAGTGTTTATTGCACAAACAAGTAACATCACTGAACTTGTATTTAACCACCACCACAATGTGACACTAAACAGGCTGTCTGCATGTAGATATGACCACTTACAGCATTTCCAATGAACTTCTCTGAGAATTCCGCTTATGGCTCTGGAAAAAATAGACCAGGTGTTAAATGGTAACTTCGAAGTTATTTATTTTACAGAAATTAGAGATCTTACATAAAATGAAAAAGGTAAGGCAAAGCCACAAAGGAAACAGGGCAGATTAGTGCTGTTTAAATCAAAGAAATAAATAAAAGCCTCACTAAAAACTAACACTAACCAAAGTGAAAGCCAGCCAAAACAACACACCTACACTAGTATATCTAGTTTAAAGGAGCATTTCACCCGTGGAAACATTAATATTTATTGAAATCGGGTTATATATTTAGTCGAAATGTAACATACATTTTGAATTTGGTGCCTATTTGACCGAGAAAAGACAGAAAGTGACTTTAGGGCGAATTTGTATTAAAGACAACAACTCCCACAATGCACAGCTCCACAAGCCGCTCCCACTAACACTATCAAGGACTACAACAACGTGAATGTAAACCATTTATTTACAGAAATATATCAACAACAACAAAAATAAATATGTTAACAATGACAGTTATAGTTCCTCCTGAGCGTCCTCAACTTCTTGGTGCCGCAGTACTGGCCATCTGGAGCTGGATATTTCTGTCGGATAGCCTGCACCACATAAGCGGGTAAAACGACACGATGGCCTCGATCCCAATCTCTCGCCTTGCAGGACCCATTGCAGAAAGGCTGTTAGGCGATATTGTCTACAAGACATTGAGCACACAGTTAGAGATGCATGGTCTTTGTGTTTAGCATGCCACAGTAGTTAGCAATGCAACTGCAAGCTGTTTGTGCAGTAAAGAAGCTAATGTTAGTTCAGTTGGCTGACGTTACGTATTAACCGGGAATAACTTTGTGATAATACTTGAACAAATTGTGTGCATACATGCCACGTTGTTATAAGACAGAAAATAGAAACACTCACTTTACAGTCAGACGTCCGTGTGTCCATAGGCGCACAGCGAGAGCACAGGCACCAGCAGTCCGCCCGAGCTCGAGCCAGTCCGGGCTCCTCGTCCGCGACAGGCAGGTCCTCTGCCTTGAAGGCAGAAGCCTCAGCCGCCTCCTGTTCGGCCTCAGTAGCTCTTCGCTATATTGCGGCTAATAAAGGTAGCCACGAACATCTGATTCGACCATCATACTTTCGAAATTTCTTCCATATTACATTGATTACCATAGTCGTAACGTCTGGCCCGACAGCGCCTCTGCTTAGCTTCCAAACAAGATGGCGGTTATATTTTTTAGTTTCTGCAAGTGAAGTCCCACCCACTGATCTGTAATAGGTCTGTAGTGTGAGTAAGAAAAAAAATGAGGAAGTAGTGTTTGTAGTCTCACCCCCTCTACAGAGATATGAGACTTCCTGCTTCCAATGACGCACAATGACGGTTTTTACATCATTGGAAGCAGGAAGTGCAACACTAAAATCCGTATTTCTCCCCTCTCAGGGAAAGTGACGGAATGATGCACGACCATTCAAAAATATGACTGGGGTTCTAATGAATCAAAGCTTAATGCAAATGAGTGAAGTGTCCCTTTAACACCCTGCACCTAGGTGTAGTAACGTCTAACTAGCTCAGGCTGAGCAAACTGGTCAGAGGACGGACAACTGGTCAGAGGTGGCTGTGGCTCAGAGGCAGAGCGGGTCGTCCACTAATCGGAAGGTTGTTGGTTCAATCCCCGGCTCCTCCCGCCACATTGAACAATTGAGCAAGATACTGAACGTGATGACGTGCATTGGTGCTTGAACGTGTATGAATGAGTTAGTTTCTGTTTGATGGACTTTGCCATCACTGTGTGAATGTGGCATGCAGTGTAAAAGCGCTTTGAGTGGTCGGAAGACTAGAAAGGCGCTATACAAGTACAGGTCCATTTACAACAGAGGTTCTTGTTTGTTCACGACTCAGTTTTAATTAATACGACGTCTTTCAGCTACAGCACACTCTGAGAAGTCTCTTGTTGCTGTATGCATTTAAGGGTCAGACAGACGGCAATGACATGTCCAGGTTTGTGGCAGAAAAACACTCTCTTTCTTCTTTCTTTGGACTCAGCATCTTTGGCAGACTAGTTTGAACATAACAAGGTTTCTCAGCAGAGGCTGATGGAAAGACAGTCTTGTAAGTTAGCACATACTCATCGGCTAACACAGCTTGGTCTGAGCAGGCTCTTATGGGCTTTGACCAGGTGTGTCGTCATGATCAATGGTCAATAGGCTCTTGAGATTGTGGTAGTAGGGACTGTGGTGGACATGCCTCCTGTGATACCTCATCATGACTGGAGTTCCAGAGTGAGTGCTGCTCCAATCATGGTCCATGGACTCTTGAGAAGGTGGTAGTAGGGACTGTGGGGGATCCGCTTTTTCTGTAGCAGTAATCGCGCACCATGGACCACAGAATTCAATTTACATGCTAGAAAACACTAGAACAGTGCTCAGCTCAGTGGGTGGAGCTGGCGGCCCGTGTGCCGAGGCTGAGTCCTTGCTTCAGCAGCCCAGGGTTCGAATCCGACCTGCAGCCCTTTACTGCGTGTCATCCCCTCTCTCTCTCTGCCCCCTTCCTGTCTGCCTTCAGCTGTCCTATCAAATAAAGGCAATAAAAGCCCCAAAAAATACTTACTACAGTAGATGTTTTGTCTGAAGCGAAGTGGAAGAATGAGTAGTTGAGGAAGAGAGACCAGAAACTAGTGCTAGTGCTTCTATCGGACATAGAAATGCTGCAGAGTCTCACTTGGTAACTTTAACTAAAAATGTTAAAGACAACTTCACCGTGCCTCCAGCTATTGTTAAAGGTGAGTGGATTTGAGTGCTAAACAAATATATCATTATCAATGGTTTTCAGATAGTGTGGGAATCGAATGCATGCATGGAGATGGATAGATGCAATCCACTCCCAGTACAAATATTTCCGAAAATATCTGTCCCACCTCAGTCACTTTTACATACCATCTAGTTTGCCTGGTTTGGTAATTAGTACAGATGTTGGGTTGAAACATGGTAAGGTTAATTGTATTATGTTTGCATTGAGTTACATTAGATCTTGAAGGAAGCTTCAGGAACAATTTGGGTTTTTCACATCTTTCCTCTAGATTGTGATTTGGAGATTTGTTGTTTTGAACAGTTTGGGATCTAGTTTATTTTTTAAAATAAGTTTTTTCCACTGTTGACTTATACAAGTTATATATTGGGTATTAGATGAATGTATGCAATAGGTTAATTGCTTCCTGGGGTAGGAGGAGCTACAGGATATATAAGCAGTAGATGAGGGTTCTCCAAGGGGCTACCTTTTGAGGATGTTGGTGAGCAGGCCACAGGGATTGTTGGCTGCCAGGGGCCCAAGCTTAAAAGGGGTATACCCCAGAGCAGAGTTGATTTTTCTTTTTGATACCTCTAGTTAGCTTTTTCCCCAAGTTGTTTTCCATTTGTTTTTTCATTTTTATTTAGTTTGTTTTTTTCTCCGGTTTGGGCCAAGCCGATCCTCACTGTAAATATGCTGCATTGATCCACTGCTGAACAAATTTGGACTGACTGAACAATTTCAAGATCCCTTCTTTCCTGCCTTCCCTACTTTACAATATTGTATTATGATATTGTATGTAAATGGTAAATGGACCTGTATTATAGCGCCTTTCTAGTCTTCCGACTACTCAAAGTGCTCTTACGTTACATGCCACATTTTTCCTTTCACACACATTCACACACCAATGCACAGCATCAAGGATACTTCTACACGTGGCGGGAGGAGCCGGGGATCGAACCAACAACCTTCTTTTTAGTGGACAACCTGCTCTGCCTCTGAGCCACAGCAGCACCATCGATTCTCAAACCTACTATAATGATTTTTGTGTTTAAGCCCCAACTGCTAGATAGCAGTGTTGTAAATGGAAACTGAGGGCTATAATGTTGGATGTTACAGTGACTATAATAAATACAAATACAGATCCTACTGTCCTGGTTGCATAATAAAGTTAACTTTTTTCAGTCAGATTTTATGCCGGCGGTGGTGTGTTCTTTATACAATGACAGTTTTCGCCTTACTTGCAGCATCGCAAATTATCGCAATATATTGAATGGTAACCCCTACATCATGAAATGTATCCTATCGCCACATACTTGCGCATGTAATTTCTTACATGCACTTCTTAGACCTGTTCATAGCTGTGTGAAACAATTTCAGTATAATTTATTTCTTGGTGTAATTATTTATTTCTACAATATGCCTCTACTCCCTTCTGTGACCTGTGCAATATTATAAGTTAACTTAAAATCACATCTGTATAAAGATACTGTATATAGTTTGTACATACAACCCAAATTAATTTTTTTCTTGATATCTTGTATTTTTTTTAATTTTATTTTGTTATTTAATGTAATTTCTTTTTTTTCTCATCTGCTGTGTTACACATCTGTAGGTGCTGTAACAAGTGAATTTCCCCAGTGTTGGATCAATCAAGTATCTTATTCTTGCCAATACACAGCCCTAGTAAATGGCCAACAACCTCATATAGCCACTATTTATAAACTCAGTAATACTGATTGGCAGACAAAGAGATTCTCACAGGTCAGACACGCTACCACACTCAGCATGGAGCTGCACTACAGAAAGCTCTAAACAGAGAGAAATAAAGGGAGTTGCGGGTATGGAAAAAAATATAATGTGATCTGTAAACTGGCAGGTTTTAAGGTTACAGACAATGTTATTTTGCAAGTAGTTTAAACTCGTCTTGTTGTGAATCTTTGGTCTAAATCCGCCTTAAACATAATGCCCCCCAAGAACACCTCAACTCCAAAATATTGGAAATTCATTCTCTGAACGCCCCCATTGAGAAATCCTTATCTACGCTAACCTCTTTAGCAGCCACCACTGTTTCTTCTCACTTGTCTTCTCTTGTAGTTTGGCCATAAACATATAGATTGACGCCCTAGTACTGCCAAGATGGATTCTTACATGACCTTGTGATCTGCACATGCAGATTCAGTGGCCAGTAGTTTCTTCCAACTTCCTACATTTTGGTTTTAATCTGTATTTTTTGGGCTTTATTGATAAAAACAACCTAAATGATGTCTGATTGGATTTTACTTTTAAGGGCTAAGCCACAACTGTTCAAATCGACTGGATCAGGAGATTCTGACTATTATAACAGCTGCACATATAGATGCTGCGGCATGCAAGCAAGCTTATTCAAATTTCTCTGTTTTTATTTTAACCTGTTTTTTTAACTTTATTGCTGAAACATGTAATACCTCAGTGTTGTCTACTAGACTTTTTAGAACCCTAGGCAGTTACTTGTGCGCCTTGGCATGATTGAATGAGATGTTAATAGCAGCCACGTTGCCATGGAGTCTTAAGGTCAGAATAGTAACAGGAGCTTCTTTTGCCTCACAAATGTGTTGCTATGGAGGCTGCTGGTTTGTATGCAGTTGAGGATCTTATGTGTCAAACTTCAGAGACTGATGCAGAGGATGACTTTGAGACTCTTACTTCAAAAGCTTAGTGTTTGTTATTCAGACAGCAGATATTTTTGATTCATGTCATGTTCAGGGAACACAGCACAAAAAACTGTGAGATAGATGGAGGCAATAGCAGGAAAATAAATCTATGAAAACAACACAAAATAGATAAAAATTATCTTTTATTATCATAAAGCTGAGCAGATCTGGAGAGACTTACTGTTGTCTAGCATGAATACCTTAAAGGGGACCAGAATATGCAGCATAAGAACACTCATTGTACAAAAGAGTAAGTACAGGGATTACACTCACTTCGGGCAATCAAGAATTGTAGTGAGTAAATTCAAATTCACCTTGGGGCACCACCCTGTAATGGGCGTGAGGTTAGACCCAAGAACAGCGCAGGCTGAGACCAGTGTTGGAAAAGTTCAACAGTTTATTGACCAAACGGGGTCGTAATATCCACAGCAGGTACACAGGAGGTACACAGGAATAGTCCACAACCTGAGCTAGCCAAAAGAGTCTGACTTTCAAGCAGAGACCTCCGGGGAGGGAATCCAAGCAAACTGGAGACAGACAAGGGGCGAGCAGGCAGAGGGGTCAGGGACAGAAGGCTGTTCAGGTTACCTGGGCAGGGACGGCGAGGATGCGTCAGGGACAAGCAGGAGCTTTGCATGCTGCTAAAGACAATCTGGCAGGGACTGAGTGGAAAGAGTGAGTTTAAATCAGGTGAGGGAACACAGGTGAAGGTGGTTGCACTGATGAGGTGAGAGTGGAACGTCGGGTGAATCTTCATGGACCGGGGAAGCCGAAGATGTACCGACTCTGGGTTGATGATGCGAGCAATGGGAAAGGGCCCAACAAACCTGGGAGCGAGCTTGCGGTTCTCCACCTTTAGGGGCAGCCTCCCTCTCTTGGTTGGCAAATAGTGGAGGCTGATACCCATAGGCACACTGGAAGGGTGAACGTCCAGTAGAAGAGCAGGTGAGGGTGTTGTGGGCATATTCTACCCAGACCAGTTGTTCAGACCAGGAAGCAGGGTTGTGGTTGATCAAGCAGCGAAGAGTGGTCCAGGTCCTGGTTCATTCTCTCAGTCTGCCCATTGGACTGGGTGTGGAAGCCAGAAGACAGACTGACAGAGGCCCCAACTAGACTGCAAAACTCCTTCCAGAACATGGATGTGAATTGGGGCCTCCGGTCAGAGACAATGTCAGTGGGCAGTCTATGGAGACGAAAGATGTTCTGGAGAACCAGTTCAGCTGTGTCTTTGGTAGAGGGAAGCTTGGGAAGGGGAATGAAGTGGACCATCTTGCTAAAACGGTCGACAACTGTGAGGATGGCAGTGTGGCCTTTGGATGTAGGTAGAGCAGTTACAAAGTCCAGGGAGATGTGTGACCATGGGCGATGAGGAACAGGCAATGGGTGCAGGAAGCCGGCTGGTGGATAACGAGAGGTCTTGTTCTGGTTGCACACAGGACAGGCGTTTGCATAGCCTCGGACATCCTCCTCCATTGATGACCACCAGAATTGTGCTGCAGGAAGTCTCGGGTCCACTGAATGCCAGGGTGGCAGGTGAGCCGGGAGCATGCCCCCACTGGAGCACATCGGAGCGGAGGTGAGCCGGAATAAACAAACAGTCAGGGGGACAGGAACTAGGACCAGGCTGGTCCTCAGTGGCAGCCCACACCCTCTCCTCTATCTCCCAAGTGACAGAGGCAACGAGACAGGAGGCTGGGACGATGATGGAGGGCTCAACCGTTTTATCAGGACACTCAGGAAACTGCCAGGAAAGTGCATCTGGTTTGATGTTACGAGACCCGGGTCGATAGGACAGTGTGAAGTTGAACCTGTCAAAGAACAGTGACCAGCAGGCCTGTCTGGAATTCAGTCTCTTGGCAGATCGAATATATTCCAGGTTGCGATGATCAGTCCACACAATGAATGGCACTTTGGCTTCCTCTAGCCAGTGGCGCCACTCCTCCAAGGCCAGTTTCACCACCAGAAGCTCCCTGTTACCAATATCGTAGTTCCTTTCCGTGGGAGTTAGGCAGCAAGAGAAAAAGGCGCAGGGGTGGACCTTCTGGTCGACGGTGGATCGCTGAGACAGAACTGCCCCCACCCCCACGCTGGATGCGTCCACCTCCACAATGAACTGGCGCTCAGGGTCGGGGATCTGGAGGATGGGAGCAGTGGAGAAGCAAGTCTTGAGGGTGTCGAAGGTACCTTGTGCCTCGTCAGTCCAGCGGAAGGATGTCTTGGATGAGGTGAGGGGAGAGGCAATGGAGCTGAAACCTCTGATGAAACGCCAGTAGAAATTGGCAAACGCCAGGAAACGCTGCAGTTGCTTGGAGCTTGGAGAACACTGTTGCCCCCTGGAGCATAAAAGGCTGTGGAGGAGTGGGAGGGGATAGCGGTTCTTAACTGTAATATCATTAAGTCCATGATAGTCTATACAGGGCCGCAGAGAGTTGTCCTTCTTATCCACAAAGAAAAAACCTGTACCAGCAGGTGAAGAGGAAGGACGGATGATCCCTGCCGCTACAGAGTCTTGTATGTACTCCTCCATGGCCTTTCTCTCAGGGGCAGAGAGTATAAGCGTCCTTTGGGAGGCGAAGTGCCCGGGAGTAGGTCTATGGCACAGTCATAGGGGCGGTGAGGTGGCAGAGAGGTGGCCTTCGCTTTGTTGAACACCTCTTTCAGGTCATGATAAACTGCTGGAACTCAGGTGAGATCTGGGGCTGGAGCAGGAACAGGAGAAGCAGGTGACAGCGATGGTGTCCTGAGGCAGGTCCCCTGGCAGGTCTCTCCCCACTCCTGGACGGAACAGGTAGTCCAATCAGTGTTGGGGTTGTGCCTGCGAAGCCAGGGGTACCCCAGGATTACAGGCTGGCTTGGTGTAGACAGGAGCAGGAACTGGATGGTCTCACTGTGGCCCCCCGGCAGGAGCATGCGCACAGGGTTGGTTTGTGATGTAACCCTCCCCAGCACATGTCCATCCAGGGCGCTGGCTGAGATGGGCAATGACAGTTTCTCTGGGTCCAAGCCGGAGAGCGAGGGCCTGGTCCATAATGCTCTTGTCGGCCCCTGAATCGATAAGGACAGCGATGGATTGGGAGCCAGAAGGCAGCAGGAACTCACCGGTGAGGCTGGGTCTTTTAGGGGAAGCAGGACCAATGATGGAGCTCACCAGTATGCCTCCGTTCACTGGTGAGTTCTGGCTTTTACTGGACACCGGCTGACAAAGTGTCCTGGCTGGCCGCAGTACAAAGGTTCAGTCTCTGCCTTCTCTCCCTCTCTTCAAGTGAGAGGCGGGTGTGACCCAGCTGCATAGGCTCAGGATCTTCCACACTTAGAGGAGCGGTTGAGGCTAACGAGGAGGAGGCAGGAGTTACTGGAGACTTGAAGTAAGGGGAACTGTGTGGCCGGGCAGAATGTGAGCGTCTCCTGCGTGCCTGGATGCGCAGGTCGAGATGGGTGGCGAGCTCAATTAGACCCTCCAGTGTAGACGGCAGTTCATAAGTTACGAGTTCATCTTTAATGTACCCAGCCAGCCCCCGCATAAAGACATCACGGAGAGCGGCCGGGTTCCAGTCACACATGGGGGCCTTGGTGCGGAAGTCTATGGCATAGTCCGTGACTGAGCGGCTCCCCTGGACCAGATCCAACAACTCTCGTCCAGCGTCGCCCCCCAGAGGTCCAGTACCAAAGACCCTCCTGAGCTTGTTGGCAAAGGACTGGAAAGAGTGGCAGGCAGGGGTCCCCCTCTGCCACTCAGCTGTGTCCCAAAGACGCGCCCGCACAGTGAGATGGTTAATAGTATAAGCCACCCTGGCTTCCTCGGAGGAAAAGGTGAGCGGTTGCAGAGAAAGGCGTTACAGGTGACAGGATCGCCATCATAACGCTCAGGTGCTCCCACATTAGGCTCACAGGGCAAAGGGAGAGGAGCACCAACTCCTGCTGAGACAGGTGGCGGAGCAGCAGCGCTTGCCGAAGCCGGTGATGAAGATCTGGCCCCCAGCGAAGCAGGTGATAGCTCCAGAGACAGGGTGCGGGCATGGATGCTCGCCATTTCATGCCACACTTGTGCCAGGCCCTGCTGATTCTCTGCTGAGGCAGCCGCAGAGGCAGAAACTAGCTGATTTAACATGTCCTCCATCCGAGATATCCTGTCGTCAATCTGAGCTGGGTCCATTTCTGGCCAGATTGTACTGTAATGGGCGTGAGGTTGGACCCAAGAACAGCACAGACTGAGACCAGCGTTGGAAAAGTTCAACAGTTTATTGACCAAACAGGGTCGTAATATCCACAGCAGGTACACAGGAATAGTCCACAACCTGAGCTAGCCAAAACAGTCCGACTTTCAAGCAGAGACCTCCGGAGAGGGAATCCAAGCAAACTGGAGACAGACAAGGGGCGAGCAGGCAGAGGGGTCAGGGACAGAAGGCTGTTCAGGTTACCTGGGCAGGGACGACGAGGACGGGTCAGGGACAAGCAGGGTCGAAACCAAGGAAGCAACCCGGAAAATAACACGAGAGAGCTTTGCATGCTGCTAAAGACAATCTGGCAGAGACTGAGTGGAAAGAGTGGGTTTAAATCAGGTGAGGGAACACAGGTGAAGGTGGTTGCACTGATGAGGTGAGAGTGGCAGGCAGGTGATCAGGAAAAGTACCGGCAGAACTGGCAGTAGGATGGAAAGCCAGGAGCGGATCATGACACCACCCATAGGAAAGTGAAAAGGATAGCCAATTAATTAATTCAGTCTAATCTAGAGGCGATGTACCTTGCATTCACCGCTCTCTATCATCTGCCCACTAACTACACACACAGAAAGGAGCTGTTACTCTTATAACAGAGAATATGAAGGGATGTTCGAGATACATCTGCACTTCATCAACCTACCACAGCATGGTTTTGCTGGTTGCGAATAAAAAAACGTTTGATTGTAGCTTGGCTGTTTAAAAATCCAGGGTTTGTGCAGGATGTGCTGTGTCGTGTGATGCTTCATAAAAGAAAACTCTGCAGTCGCTCTTGTTTTGTTTCTATTGTTCCTGCATTAAAGCTGAAATAGGTGAAGAATCCACTGGGCCTGAATGAAAACAACCAATCAAAGCCAAGAAAGATATAACAACGCTTTGGGTTGGAAGCTTGAAGAGTTGATTGTTGAGTCTCATTTCGAGAAAGTCCTCAGTTCAACCTTGAAACAAAGAAATATCAATCTCCAGCTGCAGAGCTGCCAGCCTTATATTTCCCTATACACTTTTCCCTGTATAATGTCCATGTCCATGTTGTATCATTTAATTTACAATGCAGTTTAAAGGTAAAGAGTGGTAACCAGAAAGCACTTGTGGTTTGTTCTTTCACAAGTGAAGTTGTGATAAGTTAAAGATTACTACAGTTCTTTTATTTGGAAAAGGAAGTTTAAACTGTACTGAAATATGTAAATATGACTACCAACAGATCCTTTTACAGTGCTCTTTTGCTGTGAGATAAGCGCGGCTTAGGGTACAAAATAGGCAAGACCTCAACTCTCTAGTGAAGCGTCGCTGACAGACGCAGATGAGACGCGGGCAATGTGACCGCTCTAATCTGTTTAGATGGGCACTGAAATAACAATCAAGACGTTCCGCCACGCACTCACCATGAAGACGCAGGCGGTGTGCACAAGCTGTTGTTCGACCTAGTTTATATTAGTCAGACAGTCGCAGAAAAAAATGTCAAACTATTCAGGAGCAGTGCCTTGTCACTGGGACCAGTGTCAGGAGATTGCTGCAACTGGACCTTTTCTCTTGTAATGGAACACCGCTAACTGTACTAGCTGCCATTGGTTACATAGCGGTCCTATTAGCTGACCATAGCTAATAGTGGGAGCTCAAGGATGAGAGGAGGTTTTGCCAGGGAGCGGGGTCGGAATGAGCACCATAACTGAAACCCGGTGATCAGGCAACGAACCCAGGCAGCCTTAGAAACCGATGAAGGCCAGCTGATTAACAGCGCCTCGGACCAGGACTCTGAATCTGGAGACGATGAAGACACTAAGTTTTCGGGCAGGAACTGGAGTGGCATGAAACAGCAGAGGAGTGAGTTAATTAGTAAGTAACTGTTCACTTTGTACATCATCAATTGTATGGATAAGTCCACCAGTATCCACTAGTAGTGTGAAGTTGGAAGTTATTTTTTCCCATTGCTGGTTGATCGCACGCATTCAGAATCAGCACCACTTTTTTGTTACCCTGAAAAATAGTAGCTTATGTAAACAAGAGTGTATGCCACACATGTCCCATCATAGACATTTTTAGACACTGCATTTTAAATAAATTCCATCAAATGCCAGTTTACAACAACAATAAAGCAGTGTTCTGCAGTAAAAAAAAAAAAAGAGTAAGGATTCAGAATCATAACTCATACAGATTACGCACTGTGCCTGTTAGTGGGTGTTAGTGTTTACTGAAGGCACATACAGAGTATGTCTATGCATGTGTGTGGGTGACAGAGAGAGAGATAGAGAGAAAGAGAGAGAGAGGTGTGTGTGTGTGTGTGTGTGTGTGTGTGTGTGTGTGTGTGTGTGTGTGTGTGTGTGTGTGAAGCGAGTGTCCTTTGGGAAAATGTGTTCTTCAACACTAATACCTCTCCCTGCCTTGATGGTGGAATCGGGACAGTATGTTACCATGGCAACTGGCCCCGTAACGGTTACCACGGCAATATGAGAAAGAATCAGCGATGCAGCAGAGGGTTGTCAAGGAGACCAATAGATTGAGGGAGGAAAAGAGAGGAGACTGCGAACAAAGGAGGAGAGAAGAGATGAGAGGGGTTGAAAAGATACAAACAGAGGAGAAGGTAAAGAAGGGATTAGGAAGGAATGGACAATAGAGAAAGGAAGGGGAGGTGGACAAAGAAGAAGAAAAATTGGCTGGTTTTGCAGAAGAGGACAATTGAACTGAACCCAGGGCTGTGACACATCATCATGTAGCAACCAAGTCATGGTCACCTTGAAGAGGCTTAATTCTGTCATGTCCAACTATTTTCGGTGTTCACCTCCAGGAAGGACTCTGCTGACCAACCATACTGGCAGGGAGGAAGGAGGACATCCTGACATGTGGCCTATTGAAGTCAACAGACGGCACTTCCTCCGGCCCTCCTTTGAGTCTTGTCATACTGAGAGCGAAGGGTCATTTAGATGACTTTGTTGTCTGTTGGCTTGGTTACAAAAACTACGTTCTGGCACATAACCAGCAGTGTCTCAATGCTTACAGCTTTTCAGTGACAGTAGATGAGAGTGATGTCAGATACTGCTAAGGGACATTACAGCTTGGCTCATGTCTTCACAGCCAAGATGTCAACAAAAGAATTAGCAGCCTAGTTTTCAGGAGATTGTGGGGAAACAGCTTGCTATGATCATGGAATTATAGAAAGCAACACCTATACCTATACTTAAGAACCCCTCTAGACAGGATTATAAATATTAATCAAAGTGAATCACATTTTTGAGGGGCTAAAATGATCAAAAAGTTATGAAACGCGGCAGACAATGTCACGAGTGGCAAATACATACGTGGTAAAATGGCTCAATAGCCACAGGACGTTTCATCAATATATATGAAAACCGGCACACACAGTTACATTACCCTTAACCCAACAGGATGTCATCCAGATTAAATTTAGTGATAATTTCTGGACATTTCCATATGTTGTACTAACACAGAACAGTAACACAGAGTAGACTGTATCAACTTGAAACCGGGCCAGTGCAATATAGTAAATGGTAAATGGACCTGTACTTGTATAGCGCCTTTCTAGTCTTCCGAGCACTCAAAGCGCTTTTACACTACGTGCCACATTCACTCTTTCATACACATTCACTCATTAATGGCAAAGTCCAAGGAACAGAAACTAACACAGTCCTACACATTCACACACCGATGAATAGCACTGGGAGCAATTCGGGGTTGAGTATCTTGCTCAAGGATACTTAGACATATGGCGGGAGGAGCCAGGGATCGAACCAACAACCTTCCGATTAGTGGATGACCCGCTCTTCCCACAGCCGCCCTATGAAGACCTTTGCATGAAAAGTTTTGTAAATCACTGAATGACATGTCCTTGACGTGGTGTCAAATTTAAAAGTATAACCGTGTACATGGTTCAACCCCCCCATATGGCACATATTTGATTCCAAGCCTGAACACATCTCAATCTGTAACTGAGGTTATACATCATCCATCGTATTGGTAAGTCTAAGTATTTGTTTGTTTTTTTAAGTTGGATGTTATTTTATTCCTGTTGATCTGACACATTCAGTCATTTCCACTTTTGCTGTCAGTCTTTGAAGATCCAGTGTGGATTCAGTGGTATCTAGTAGGGTAGTTGCAGAGCGCAATTCTGTCGCTTCACCCTCCCCTTCCAGGCATTAAGAAGAAACTATGGTGGAAACAAGCAAACAAAAAAAAACGCAAACGCTGCTGTCTACAGTAGAAACAAGGTGGTTCAACATGGCAGACTCCATGGAAGGCGACCCACGGTGCCTGTAGATATAAATGGCCCATTCTAAGGTTATAAAAACACAACAATTCCTATATTCAAGTGAGAGAGAGCATTGAAAGGTACCCCAATATGTATCAAAACTGGCACACTGTGAGCCATAACCTCATCAGGAAGTCGGCCAGTTTGAATTTAGTGCAATAGTTGCCATTTCCACATGTGGCACTTTAGCGAACTCAAAAAATAAAAAGTTTGGTAGATCGTTGAACTATCGTGTCTGTTACGTGCCATCGAATTCAAAAGTATCATCATATACCTGAACACATTTACATGCTATTATTTAGTTATAGTCATAACACCTCCTACTGGAAGCAGGAAATGTCATGTTTTATACTTTGAGCCACCTGAAGATCAGGTCTGAAGAGCCTTAACACCTTAATAATGCAATAGTGTGAATGTGGTGGGTGTCTGCTGAATGGCGGGTCCATGGTATGGTGCTTGTGGCGTCTGTTTCCATGAGACATGTGACCAAGTGTACATGATCAAATCTTCCTCAAATTTCATGTTGAAGGCCTGAACACGTCTACTGATTCAGTTACAGTCATAGCACAACCTGGTGGCAACAGGAAGTAACCCTTGTGTAACAATCATAATTTGATTTACCTTATATGCAGAAAGTGACACAAACTCCGTCGTGCAGTGTCTAAAATACAAGAAAATTCAGAGATGTGCCAACCAACCTCCGGTAACCACACTACAGCAAACACTAATGCGCTTGCAGCATTCATTTCCACATTAAAACCATTAAAAAATCATCTATTCCTACCTCATTTAAAATTCCAGAATCTCTAAATATGCAATTCAGTCAGGACCACTTTTGTCAAAATAGCTTTTATTCCAAAGTAGAATATTACATTTGGCAGTATGGCTCTGTTCTGGGACCTCCTTGTCCTTCCACGTGCCCACGTGGAAAACCTTAAGGAAGGGAGAGCACACCTCCCTGCCCTTCCATGTGCATACATGGAAAAGTTTAAGACAAGGAGAGTGGCAGCAGAGACCCCCCGGGGTACAGAACAGAGCAAGCATCAATGGCAATCAGAAAATGACACTGATCAATTACATAAAACATAAAAAGGAGGAGCTGGGGTGGAGGTGGGTTGAAAACGGCTTGTAGAGGAAGCAGCAAAGATAGGCAGGCTAAAGCAGCTTAAATAAGGCGCCATGAATGATATTTGCCAATTGGATGCTTGAGGGAATCAGCTGAGCTGTCACCTGACTGTGTATGGTTTCCAACAGGAAGCTTAGGAGGAATCAGCTGAGCCATCAGCTGATTTGCGTTTACGACTAGCTGTGATCATATGATATAGCTGGAATTGAGAGCTGAGCCTGACTTTGTGGCCTGCCTGAACTAACGCTATGCTCAATATGTTAATTTCTAAACTTTTCCTGCTGGACAAAAGATGTCTTCTACTTAACCGTAAAGTCCATTCTCAGTGGATGTGCACTGGTGGATTCAAGTTTCTACATGGTAAATGGTAAATGGACTGTAGTCTTTCTTGTCACTCACCCCATTCACGCACATTTATACACTGATGATGCAAGGTGCCAACTGTTCACCAGAACTGTTCACCAACTGCTGCATAGTTGCATACTGGACCAGGGTTGACTTCCAAATGATTAGTGGTGTCACAAATCATGCTGGTAGGCCCCGCCCCTTAACATCAGATTTTCAACGAGCACAGAGAAACTTTCCACTTTCAGCAGATGATTGTGAGAACATCCTTCTTGTGTCAAACTCTGCACATACATCATTCAAACATCACTATAGGAACAAGAAGATGTCATAAATATACCTATAGGGAAATAGAGAAAATTACAAATAACAGCCTATTTCTCTATTCTACTGAGGTAAAATTTTAAAATGATAATAATAAACAGCACTTGTAATAAAGAGGCTTAAAAGCCATTCCACTGGTATGGTCCATCGAAATGACGACTGATAATGAGGACGATGCAATATAATTTCCTGAATAAAGCTTTCACACCTTTCAGTCAGGAACCGATGTTTCACTTTTTCGGCTTCTGTAAACATCGCCCTTCCCCCACCTTGAATCAATCAATGTAATTTGGGGACTATAGGGAATCCCATCAGCTGTGTCTGAGACAGCACTTGTGGCAGGCAGTCGAACAAACAGGCAAACAGAATAAACAGCTGAAGGTCGAGACGTACCCTCCACCCCTTCCCAACCAATGACCGCTGCATCACTTGGTTATGTTTTCCATTTCACAGACTTGCGACACCCTCCACTGTTTTCAGAGCATTAACCGCTGTTAGATCTGCATCTTGTCAGTGCTCAGGGAGGCAGAACTGACGTGGACGCACACAGAGCTCCGCTGTGTACTGATTAGGGAACACAATTTCATTCCTCAAGTCAAGGTCATGGGAGCCCAATCCCATTACCCCCCCCCGATAGCTTTCTCCTGTTTTGTTTTACTTTGTCGACTAGCATCTTCTATTTACTGCATTGCTGTCAGGGCTTTGACCTGGTTCTCAGGTTGAATTGGACTTGGATGTCTGGTGAGCTGTGGAATGTTAGCAGGGGCGTTACTCTTCCCAAGTGCTAAATAAAACCTGACTGATTCACAGCCAACCTTGTATGTAGAGCATGGGAGGGGGAAGAGAGGAGAGGGCAATAAAGGAGGAAGGAAAGAGAAATTAGAGGGAAAGAGGGTGAGGCTCCAGGGTCAAAGAAAACAGGAGATTAGATAGTAGAAGGAGCGCAACAGACAGTGATAGAGAGAAAAATAACGGGGCTGAGGAAGATGGATGTCCCTCACCTATCCACTTGTCATTCCCATACCAGGACAGATTGCCTTTAGTGCTGTCGTAGTATCCAATCTTCTTATAGCTCCCTCCTGTGAGAGAGAGAGAGAGAGAGCGAGACAGAGACAAAGACAGAGAGAGAGGGTCATACTAGGCTTGAATGTCTGTAACTCTAATGAATGTTCCACCAGGTAGGGCTGGGTATCTTCAAGAGGTACTCCACACTTCAACATGTTTGTTTTTTGAGCTGTAAACTGAATTATATGACTGTACTGTGATGAAACACATTAATGCTGGTGTAAATATGACATTCTTACCAAAACTATGAAAATTGGCATTTCATGGGTTGGAAATGTCTAAACACACCCTGTACTGTTTTAAATCACCCTTGCAAGGCCAGTGGTGAAATAGAGTCGACCATTTGGGATTACTTTACGTCATGACATTTCTGTAAAAAAAAAACAGTGTTAACCCACCCACCCCCCAGCCTCCGCTTTGTGCGTGAATGTGCTTCTACTGACTCAAATGGACTCTCAGTGTTTCGAGGGCAGACACGGAGAGTAAACCGGGTAAACAGTTGGTAAAGTTGCCACTGAATATCTGGTCAGATTCAGAATCTTCTTTGATCAGATATTTCCTGATTTAAATCAAACTGTTTCCAAGTTTAGATTAGATTTTTAAATGTATGTTTTATTTAGACAACCTTCTTGCACACAACCTTGTGTTTGGACAACATTTAACAAAACGTTTGACAGGCTTTTGTGTGCAAAATGGTTTTGAAGAGAAAACATGGTTGTATTGAAAGTATTGAGATTTGAGCAGTGGTATTGAGATTCAAGGATCATGTCAGCACTAGTATCAGAAATTTCAAAAAGAATACAGCCTTAGTTTTGTCTATCCCAGTGAATGATTAAAGACAGTTTTGACTGAATCTGAATTGGATTTAAGGACACTGTTGTGCAGTTTATGAAATACGCTCCTTTACTTCGTTCGGATGGACAGATTAATAACAATTCAATGTCCTTCTCCTTACAGAGCTGGAGTCAGGAAATGGTTAGCCTAACCTAGCATAAAGACTGGAAGTACTGGGAAACAGCTACCCTGGCTACAGTGCTGTGAAAAAGTATTTGCCCCCTTTCTTATTTCTTATTTTTTTGCATATTTGTCACACTTAAATGTCTCAGATCATCTAACAAATTTTAATATTAGACAAAGATAACCTGAGTAAATACAAAATGCAGTTTAAATGATGATTTTATTTATGAAGGGAAAAAGGCTATCCAAACCTACCTGGCCCTATGTGAAAAAGGAATTGCCCCCTAAACCTAGCTTTGTGGATAACGGCTCTCACCGTGGTTCGCTGGAGTCCCAAAGCCTTAGAAATGGCTTTGTAACCCTTTCCAGACTGATAGATATCAATGATTTTGTTTGACATCTGTTCTTCAATTTCTTTACATCGCGGAATGATGTGTTGCTTTTTGAGATCTTTTAGCCTACTTCACTTTGTCAGACAGGTTCTACTTAAGTGATTTCTTGATTCAACATATCTGACAGTAATCAGAGATTACTTTTTCACATAGGGCCAGGTAGGTTTGGATAGCCTTTTTCCCTTAATAAATGAAATCATCATTTAAAAACTGCATTTTGTATTTACTCAGGTTATCTTTGTCTAATATTAAAGTTAGTTTGATGATCTGAAACATTTAAAAGTACAAAAATAAACCAACACATCTAAAGCTTACTGATTAAAAGGTCCAGTCTGTAGGATTTTGTGCATCTAGCAGACTCCATGGAAGGCAACCTGTGGTGTCTGGAGATAAAAAGTCTCAAAAGTCTCATTCTAAGGTAAAAAAAAAAAAACACAACAATTCTTATTTTCATACTTTTAAATTTTCATATTTATACGCAAACATAGCTAGATATTATGTTCCATTTCTGACAATAGATCCTCCTAAATGTTACACACTTAACACACTGTATCTCATGCCTTTTATTCTGAGTTTCATGCTGGAACTGTTTCTTGACAACAGCAGTTTAATTCTTCTGTACAGTGTCACTGGCTATAGTACAGGTTGCCAGATACAGAGAGCACATGTTTTGGTTTACTTCCACAATACAAATGTCACTTTTTGACATTCCTCTGGGAAATCATGACGGACAGATGCCCTGTCCTTCCACTCGAAGAACAAATACACTTTATGAGATATATCATTAATAAAATCCAGGTCAGTGGGATCCCTGCAAGCCTTTTAAGGAAAAAAAAAACTACTTTTGTGAGAAACTGGTCTGCCATCAGCTGTAGCACATTCCTGCGGTTTACTGTAATAACACTTTAATATCCCAGTGCAGTAGCACAGAGAGGCACAGCCCAGAGGCATCAGACCACCAACCACTGGACATCTAACTGTCAAGTAATCTTTAGGCGTAATTCCTACAGTCTGCTAACAGGACTAAGAGGTACTCAGCATGTTCTATAGCAAGGTCTAAGGCAGTTAAAACTAGTGTAAGTAGTGGTGATAGGACAAACCACCCTGGTAGTTCTTTGCTCGCATTAAGAGCTGACATTGGCTCTATTTGCAAGACACAACTTGCCAGTATAACAGTATACTAGAGGTCCCTGCCCTCTACACCGCAACACAGTCTGTAAAACCTACTATCAATTTTATTCTCTTAGTGCAATTTGTTTATTAATTAACAGGATAAGGCTGGTGTTATTCTATATTTTAAGCCACACTAGCAGTGGGACTCCAAGGATGGCAATTTTGGTTGGTCCACTGCTTTGGTCTAGACTAAAACATCTCAAGAACAGTAAGAGACTGCCATGAACGTTTATACAGACATTTTATCTAGCACCACCATACGATTCTCATTCCTGGCTTTATGTAAAAAGTCTCAACAACAATTAGATGAATTGCCCTGAAATTTATTCCAGACACTGAGAGCAGGACTTCTAATGATTTATGTCTGATTTTTAATTTAAAATCTATTCTGTAAAATCTATCTTCATTACTGAAGAGACATGGCTTCAACTTCTCACATCTGACATTTTGACTTGCCAGGCAGGAAAAGCACAGATATCCATAGCTATGTTTGCGTATCTATTTCTTTCCATTTTGCTTACACTTGACCAAAGAACTGCCCAAGGCCAGCACCGTTCCAATTGCCATCAAACACACTGCAGCTCATCATTGACCCTCCACTTGTGGGATGGCTGAGGCCAGCACCAACAAAGAAAATCGGCATAACAAGGTTAATTTTTTATCAGTCCTGGGAACAGAGAGCCTCCAACAGTCACAGATCTCGGCACTGTCAGAGGTACACAAAGCACAGAAAGACTGAAAAGAGAACACAGGCTCAGTGATCAAAAAGCAGTCAGCCAACAGGAGCCACATGGCTATGTGATCACTCAGCCACATCCATCCTACTCCATAAACAGTGATGCAATCATCCAGCATGAAAACGTCTAGGCCTGTTGATTATTCTAGTGGAGAAGTTGTTTTTCAACAACTTAGCTTAGCCTTAGCCACCTCAGTTTTTGTTTTGTTTCCCGATAGAAACTGGAAACAATCCATTAAACACTATCGTCACGCTAAATCCACTTTTTTTAATCAGGAGTGTTCATTCTAGTAGTAAGTTTTTCAGACAAAGTCCTAACTAACTAACCAACCTATGAACCTATATAAAATCACGATCAGACATTTTAGCTGAAAGCTCAAACTTCAGCTACAATCATTTCAGTCAATACAAAATGAATGCTTTATTGTGGGAGCCATTATACAGCTGGAGCTGCAACCCTGTTGCCAGTCAACATCCCTGATATTGGCCGATTTTGCAAAACCCTGCATATTGGAATTAAAAATTTCAATTATCACTTTTAAAGCCTGGAATGGGTTATGCTGCTTACAAGCTATATCTCGGACCTTTTAACTCCCCATGTTCCTTAAAGGGCCCAGAGGTCCTCAAATGCTGCCCTCCTGGTGGTTCCCAAAACCAGATCAAAAAACAAAGGTGACAGAGCATTTGCCATCAGGGCCCCCAAGCCTTTTGGGGAGATCAGGATGGCTAATAGGGACCGAGCCAGCATCAACTGGAAGGTCCCTATTGTTTTTGCTCTATTTCTTTTTATTAGGGACCAAGCCAGTATCCACTGGGAGGTCCCTATTGTATTTACTAAAGTTATTATTATTTTTAGCCCCTTTCACTGCATTTTTGACCCCCTGAATATATACGAAAAGTTCATTTGGGAAAGTTGCCAGGCGTTCAGTGAATGGAGCTGCATCTCCCCGTAAAAAGTAGTTTATGGACATTTTCTAGGCGGAAGTGGGCGGGGCTTACATGGGGAGACTCAGCTCTATTCACCGAACGCGTGGATACAAGGTTTTTGAATGTGCGACAAACTATGCAGAAGTTATCAGCCTAAACGCATTTTTTATGATAGTAGCGCCACCTAGTGGCCAACCCGAAAGCGACACATAGAATATAAAATTTTTCACCAGGCCTGATCACTTTGCCAAATAAAATTGAGTTTTCGTATATGTTCAGAGGGGCAAAATCGCAGTCAAAGGCGCTAAAAATAATAATAAGAAACATAGCAAATAAAATAGGGACCTCCAGCGGTCGCTGGCTCGGTCCCTAATTAATTAATGACACATTTAAGTAATTATTAGGGACCGAGCCAGCGACCTCTGGAGGTCCCTATTGTTTTTGCGATTTCTTACCTATTATTAGGGACCGAGCCACCCGGCAAGGTCCCTATTGTATTGTTCGATTTCTTCTTACCTATTATTATTAGGGACCGAGCCAGCGACCCTGGAGGTCCCTATGTTTGCTCAATTCTACCTATTCTTCTTCTTCTTATTATTATTAGGGACCGAGCCAGCACCCGGAGGTCCCTATTGTTTTGCTCGATTTCTTACCTATTCTTCTTCTTATTATTATTATTAGGGACCGAGCCAGCGACCGGCAAGGTCCCTATTGTTTCGCTGATTTCTTCTTCTTACCTATTATTAGGATCGAGCACTGACAAGTGCAAGACCCTATTGTAACCCAAGGAATTATTATTATTTTTAGCCGCCTTCTAACGCATATTTGGCCCCCACAACATGCTCAAAAGACACAATTTGCACAAAATTCAAATGTAGCGAAAATACCGATATGACATTGTCCCCGTGCACGGGCGCCGCCAAACGGCTAAGCCACAACCCCCAGAATCAGCCCCCAAGACACGTAAGGCCCACATGTACAAAATTGGTACGCATGTGTATCATGATAAAGAATAAGAAAAGTCTCTTGGACCCATACCCAAACCCAGCAGGAAGTTGGCCATTTTGGATTTTGTGGCCATTTTGGCGATTTACACGCGTTGTATTTGAACAAACTCTTCCTAGGGCATTTATTGGACCGACTTCAGATTTGGACACAGCCATCTAAACACATTCACCATTAAAAGCTGTGTCAGTTTTTTTGTCAAACCTCTAGGTGGCGCTCTTTAAAATGAAGAAGTTTATATCTCCATAACGGCAAGTGTGATTGAAATGAAACTTGTTATGATGCTTCCCAATGGCTCCCTGAGGCTCCTAAAAATGTGTCAACAATCCGCCACTAGGACGCTCGGTGGCATGGTAAATCACTGTGCGGAGACCGTAATAGTTAGAATATGAAATTCACAGGGCACGTATAGAGGGTGCCTGAAGCTCACATACCAAAAATCGTGTTTGTCGTGTTTGTAGCACCCCCTACAGGATAAAAAAACAGCAGCCCCACGTTTCACCGATGTGACGAAACTCTGTAGGCACGTGAACATGCCGGGACATACAAAAAAGCCTCTGGACCCATACCCAAACCCCACAGGAAGTCGGCCATTGTGATTTTGATTTTCACATTCGGTGAACTTTTTGCGTTGTATTTGAACTCCTCCTCCTGGGGAATTCGTCGGATCGGCTTCAAAATTTGTGAGTACAGTCAAAAAATGGTTCTGATTAAAAGTTGTGCTATTTGTGCATGTACGTTGAAGGGCGTGTCCGTGGCATGCCCTCAAATTTGGCCACAGTGAATTCCGTGCGCATTTTCGGTGAATTTTCGTTTTGTATTTGAACGAACTCCTCCTAGGGAATTTATCGGATCTACTTGAAAATTGGTCATTACAGTCAAAAAATGGTGCTGATTAAAGGTTGTGCTACTTGTGCATGTACATTAAAGGGCATGTCCGTGGCATGCCATCAAAGTCAGCCATTTTGATTTTTTGCTCATTTTCTGTGATTTTCACATTGTATTTGAACAAACTCCTCCTAGGGAATTTATCGGATCTGCTTCAAAATTGGTCAGTACAGTCAAAACATGGTCCTGATTAAAAGTTGTGCTATTTGTGCATGTACATTAAAGGGCGTGTCCGTGGCGTGCCCTCAAAGTTGGCCCGGTTGTATCAAATGTCAGACTGTTACGCCATTTCCGGCATTTGCAATGATTTTCTGTGATTTTCGCATTGTATTTGAACGAACTCCTCCTAGAGAATTTATCAGATCTGTTTCAAAATTAGTCAGTACAGTCAAAAAATGGTGCTATATAAAATTTCCATAAACTACGTTTTCTGTTCCTCCTATGCGCTTTGTCCGATTTGCACGAAAGTTTTCACCTAGCATCTGAAGACCGTCCTGGCAAAAATGTAATTTAAAGACTTTTGATATTTCAAAAAATATGCACGTTATAAAATTAGCACTTCCTGTGGATATGCATCAAGAAAGGAAGTGGAGCATTTCTCAACATTGGTATGTCCGATTGACACGCGTCCCATGTCTTCCTTATCGTAACCCTATCGTGCACAATCTTGAACAATTTGAGGCCACCGCCACAAGGTAGCGCTCTTTAAAAGGAAAATGTTTATATCGGCACGTGTGATTAAAACAAAACTTGGTACGATGATTGGCCATGGCTCCCTGAGGCTCCCTAAAAATGTGTCAACAACCGCCACCAGGTGGCGCTCTGGTGGCAGTTTAAATAACAAAGTGGTACTGTGCGTAGACCATAATAGTTATGAATATGAAATTCACAGAGCACATATTTGAACGAACTCCTTATAGGGGACTTATCGGATCTACTTAAAAATTGGACAGTACACTTAAAACATTTTGCTGATTAAATCTTGTGTGGTTGTGATTGTATGTTGAAGGGCGTGTCCGTGGCGTGCCGTCAAAGTTGGCCATATTGAATTCCGTGGTCTTGTATTTGAACAAACGAACTCCTAGGGAATTTAGAGGATCTGCTTCAAAACTGGACAGTACACTCAAAAATTTTGCTTCTTACAAATTGTGCTAATTGTGACTGTACGTTGAAGGGCGTGTCCGTGGCGTGCCGTCAAAGTTGGCCATTTTGAATTCTGTGGTCATTTTGGTGAATTCTTGCCTTCTATTTGAATGAACTCCTAATAGGGGACTAATCAGATCTACTTCAAATTTGGACAGTACAATCAAAAAATGTTGCTGACTGAACGCCGTGCTATTTGTGACTGTACGTTGAAGGGCGTGTCCGTGGCGTGCCGTCAAAGTTGGCCATTTTGAATTTTTTGGTCATTTTCGGTGAGTTTTTGCCTTGTTTTTGAAGGCATCATAGGGGACTTATCTTTTTCTCTCAGACATTTTAATTGAATTTTAATCACAAATACAGAAATGTTCATACAATGTGCATTTCTTTTTTTCAAAGTGATCAAAAACAACCCCTCCACTCCGACTAGCCACATCTACAAACCATATTTCCTACGGAGTATTGTTCCTGGAGTATTATAGGAAACTGCTGGAAGTCAAGTATTAAATTGCAAGATAAATAGGGGACTTATCAAATCTACTTCAAAATTAGTCAGTACAGTCAACATATGTTGATTAAAAGTTGTGCTATTTGTGACTGTACGTTGAAGGGCGTGTCCGTGGCGTGCCGTCAAAGTCGGCCACTGTGATGCCATTTCCGGCATTTCAGGGCTTCTATTTTAACTAACTCCTACAGACTTTATCATATTGACTCCATATTAGATCACTGCAATCTAGGCACATTTGTGATCATAAGTTAATCAAATATTAACTGTGCGTCAAACTGTGTGCCTGTGGCGTGGCGCTGAATTTCCAGCTTTCGCAGTGAAGAGTCTCTCTATGAAAGCGTAAGTCTTTTGCAGTGTCTAAAACGTGTGACAACTTAGAGTGGTCTCCCTCAGCTTCTGGCGATGAGGCCTTTGGAGTGGGGTGACGTGAAAATGTCATGTTGTGGTCCGAACGTGTTACGACGGCATGTGACCGAGTTGCATGGAGTGCAAGGTCCCGCCCAATGCTGCTTGCTAGCTTATTATTATTGTTGAATGCATGTGAAAGGAGGCTTCTTCAAGATAAAACTGGGCATTCAGTTGCTCATCAAAATAGATTAAACCACTAATGTGACTCTTGAATTTCCAAATGTGTTATTTAATGGTGAATTTTTAGAATTCACCACTGTGAGTCACTTTACTCAAAGTTTCTTTAATTCAATTCAATTCAATTCAATTTTATTTGTATAGCGCCAATTCATAACAGAAGTTATCTCAGGACACTTTTCAAATAGAGCAGGCCTAGACCGAACTCCTTATAACATTATTTACAGAGACCCAACAGTACCACCATGAGCAAGCACTTGGCGACGGGGGCAAGGAAAAACTGCCTTTTATGAGGCAGAAACCTAGGACAGACCCTTCGGCTCTAGGTGGGTGGTCATCTGCCTCGACCAGTTGGGGTGAGAGAGACAGAGAGTGAAACAACAGTGATGCCAGGGAATGGCAGTGAAAATAAACTGACTTTATTGAAATGACAGATTGTGTTCTGTGTTTCATAAAGGCTAATTTGGCATTTGACTGGCTTTTCAGAAATTCTTTTTTTATAAAAAAAAATAAATCTTCTCACATACTTTGCATAAACACACAGTCTGGGAGGTTTGAAAACCTTACATGGCAAATTCTTCAAACACTGCCAACAGTATATGCGTATATGAATATATTTATATGGATATATATATTCAAATAAACTGATTAAAATGTATTCAGTTTAAAAGCAGGGACATGTGCTGTTGCATACCTTGAAGCTGTTCAATAAGAGTCCAGGCCATTCGAGAACCTTGAGCGTCAAATACAACATGACCCTGAAAGAAAAAGACAGAATTTTAATGTTGTAAGACCCCCTTTCATCTTTCACACCTCTCTCAATTTTCTCTCTTTCTCTCTCTCTCTCTCTCATATTACTACCCAGAACTCTTAACCCCCCCCCCCCTTTCTACACCTCCTCCCTCCTCTGGGTTTACTTACTGAGACTCCTTCAAAGGAGCTGGTGTTCATGGCTCGGTAGATCTCAGCAGTGATAGCTCGGTTGTTGTAGTTGAAATCTTCGAGTCGGTGACCCTTGGCTTTTAAGGGCCCCACAGTCTTGTTGAGGGCCAAGGCTAGAGCCCACACAGCGTCGTAGGCCAGTGGGGCCTCCTGGAAACCGCCTGTCTCCTCTGGATTTTTACCCCCAAGTTTAGACATCAGCTGGGCTAGAAACTCCTGAGAGGTCTGGAGAGGAGAGAATGTGGTGAGAGGTTGTGTTTGGTCACACATGGATGTTCAGGCTGTTAAACTGGTACATCTGAATCAGCTGGTCTGAATTTGCTGGTTGCACATCACATTATTTACAGAGTGAATGGATTCAAACCATTGACAATATATATAGCCTATTTCTCACTTGCTTTAGTTTAGTCTCAATCTGTAGTTACAGTCTTCTTCCATACAGCATGATGTTCATTTAGTAAATGATGGTCCTATTTAGAGTAAAATGTGTACTGTACTGTGACGTACCATTGTATCCTCTACGTCACCTCAGCTGGCTGCAAAAAAAAATCATGCCGATGACCATAATGCCAAACTCAAGACTTCCAAACGGCATTCTGCAAACCAATGGGTGACCTCAACATAGACACACGTGATTCAAACACACAAAAAAAAGATACAAAAAATTATAGAACTAACTTCAATATTACTCACCATGCCCTCCAAACACAATGACAAAATACTATAAAATACTACCCATATTAGACTTTTCTAACTTGACATCCGATGGTCAACTGCAAAAATGGGACATTGTTTCTATCATTATGACAAAACTGTACTCACTGAAGTAACTACAATCCAAAAGGTCCAATGGTGCAGCAAACACTATCGGTCAGAAGACTAAACAGGTTGTAAACAACAAGGAGCTTACTGAGCTCGTCTTAACCACTTCATCTGGATGTCAAACCTAAAGTGGCCGCGCTCTAATAATAAATTAATAACACAGAAAAACTATGAGTGCATGGTTAGAAAAAAAGATTTTACTTTGTTAAAGCTGCAAAATAACTTGTTTCCTGACAGTAGTACATGATATAGATAATCAGCGAAGAAAAATCAGGTTTCTCTGGCTAGTTCTAGTTCTCCTAATGGCATTTGCAAAACTCCAACAATCAACAATCTTAAAAACCACTACCCCAAAGCGTCTATCAATTTTTCTTGGCTCTTATTGGTTGTTTTTGTGGATTTTGAGGGATTCTTGCAAATACCATTAGGAGCACTAGATAGCACTGAGAAACTTTTTTTTCACTGATTATCTGTCTCGTGTACTTCTCTCAGGGTATAGTGAATGTTTTAGCAAAAACAACAAAAATATTTTTTACTGCAGCTTTAAGGTTAGGGAACCTTCATATAAAGGCCACCCATCCACTGCAGTCTAACCTCCTTTTCCTCTCTAAAATTCTGGAAAAAGTAGTCACCAAGCAGTTGTGTGACTTTCTACATAGCAACAGCTTATTTGAGGATTTTCAGTTAGGATTTAGAGTTCATCACAGCACAGAGAGAGCACTGGTTAAAGTTAATAACAACCTTTTAATTGCTTCCGACAATGGACTTGTTTCTGTACTTGTATTATGAGATCTTAGTGCCACATTTGACACCATCACCATAATATTCTTTTACAGAGACTTGAGCATCAAATTGCCATTAAAGGAACTGCACTAAGCTGGTTTAAGTCCTATTAATCAGATCGTTCTCTCGTTTGTACACGTTAACAATGAATCCTCCATGAACACTAAAGTTAGTCATGGAGTTCCACAAGGTTCTGTGCTTGGACCAATTCTATTCACTTTATATATGCTTCCCTTAGGCAACATTATTAGGAATCACTCCATTAACTTTCACTGTTATGCAGATGATACCCAGTTATATCTGTTGATCAAGCCCGATGAAATTAATTAGTTATTTAAGTTACAAACATGTCTTAAGGGCATAATAACCTGGATGAACTGCAATTTTCTGATGCTAGATCAAAAAAAAAATGAAATCCTTGTACTTGGCCTCAAACACCTCCGAGACTCACTGTCTAAAGATAAAGTTTCTCTAGATGGTATTACCTTGGCCTCCAGCACCACGGTCAGGAATCTTAGAGTTATGTTCGATCAGGATATGTCCTTTAATTCCCACATAAAGCAAACCTCCAGGACTGCCTTTTTTCATTTATGTAACACTACAAAAATTAGACACATACTGTCACAGATGGATGCAGAAAAACTAATCCATGCATTTGTTACTTCTAGGCTGGATTACTGCAATTCCTTATCATCAGGTTGCCCCAATAAGTCCATTAAGACGCTCCAATTAATTCAGGACGCTGCAGCACGAGTACTGACAGGAAGTAGGAAAAGAGATTATATCTCTCCTGTATTAGCTTCTCTGCACTGGCTCCCTGTAAAATTCAGAATAGAATTTAAAATCCTCCTCCTCACCCACGAACCTCTTTAATGGTCAGGCCCCTTTATATCTTAAAGAGCTCATAGTACCCTATTACCCCACTAGAACGCTGTGCTCTCTGAATGCAGGGCTACTTGTGGTTCCTATAGTCTCTTAAAGTAGAACAGGAGCCAGAGCCTTCAGCTACCAAGCTCCTCTCCTGTGGAACCAGCTTCCAGTTGTGGTTCGGGGCTGGCTCAGTTGAGTCCTGAACCATCCCTTAGTTATGCTGATATAGGCCTAGACTATCGGGGGATTTCCCATGATGCACTGAGCTCCTCTCATCCTCTCCCTCTCTTTCTGCACACATTCATGTCCCATTAATGCATGTTACTAACTTCACTTCTTCTTCTTCTCCTCATGGATCCTGGTGGTGCCTCCTGCCATGGTCCTGCTTGACTCGCATTGCTAATATTACTGATATTACTGTTATTATTATTACTATTATTATTGTAATCACTGCTCATTGTCCCCCCTCGTTGTCATCATCTTCTTCATGTTCATCATCATTATCAACATCAGTCACTACTATTTGTGTAGTTGTTGCTACTGTTGTTGCTGTGTGTGTCTCTCTCTCTCTCTGGTTGAGGCAGACTACCCACCTAGAGCTGGGGTCTGTCCGAGGTTTCTGCCTCTTAAAAGGATGTTTGTTGCTCATGGTGGGAACTGTTGGGTCTCCGTAAATTATTTTAAAAGTAGTACATTCTAGACCTGCTCTATTTTGAAAAGTGTCCTGAGATAACTTCTGTTATGATTTGCCGCTACACAAATAAAATTGAATTGCAGTCTCCAACCTACAACATTGTGTGGCTCTACAGTATAAAAGTGACATGGTTGTTCCTGACAAACAAAAAACATAATTTAGACAGGCACCAGAGGTTGCATGTCAGTTAAACATAAACATAGGTTGGGTTTTGTAGACTCTGTGAGGCTGGGGAATATTGTTAAGACCATCTCCTTTGGGGATGAAGTTCTGTCTAATAACCTCAGTCCTCTAAATGACTTCATAGGTCTTTGAAAGAAGTGGTCAGTGAATGTATCACAACTCATTCTGCACATTAAAGGACCAGTGTGTAGGATTTAGTGGCATCTAGCGGTGAAGTTGCAGATTACATCCTTTTGAACATACAGCATATAGTGTGTAGGAGAAACTTTTGAAAAACTATCTTATCTAGAGCTGATGTGTGGTTGGTCTGTTCCAGGCTACTGTAGAGCAGGCGAGATAGCTGCAGGGAGGCAGAAAATGTTTGATCACAGTCGCAGTGGTTCCGACGCTGACAGAAGCATCTGGAGAGCATCCAGGACATGCTACTGGAGACAGCATGTCAACCTGCTGTTACCAGCTGTGCAGCCAGCAGCAGCAGTAACAAACAGAACAGACATGATGAGGATAATGGAGGCAGAAACTGCCCATGTACCGAGCAGTGACCCATTGATCATAAAATACCATCATGAAGTTGCCATCAATGATCAATCATATAGAGTAAAGGCAGTATTAAAATATTCCTACAGTATTTGTGCCATGTGACAATGGACAGAATTGGAATGCTTTTTAAATATTTAATCTCCAAAATAAAATATCATAATCTATCACAAATAACATAAATGACAAAGCAAGATGATTTAATACCTTTTATCTGTATTATATTTACATGTAGTATTCCTGAGGTTTTCCTATGAGAGAAAGGAGACTTTGAATTTATTTAAAGATTTTATTCGTTTTTTTTTTTTTTGCCTGCACAACTCCTGCTTGTGTCTGAGATCTGCTGATTCCCTTCAAGCCTGATCGCTGCTTGAGATCATCTGGCAGGGCTCTACTGAGATCTCACCTTGTTGCAAATGGCCTCTTTCTCCTGCAGGAACTTAAAAACCTGTAACATGTGAGGCTCTGAGGTTCTTCCATGCCTTTTGTCTCTGTTTTTCAAGTGGAGTAAGAAGTTGCAGACAATGGAAGAAGTGCGCTGGTATTATATTTCCCCTGAAGCCCGGGGGGGCGGGGGGCCCCAAAAAAACCCACTTTGTTGTTTGTTAGGTTACTCAACTGCGCGTGATATTATTATTGATTTTCTTAAAGCATTTTTTTTTTTTTTTTTTAAAATTTTTTTTTTTTTTTTTTTTTTTTTTCCCCCTTTTTCCCCCCTTTTTTTTTTCCCTTTTTTTTTGTTTTTCCCTTTTTCCCCCCCCCCCCCCCCCCCCCCCCCCCTCTTCTTTGGTTGGGGGGGGTGGGGGGGCGCCCCCGGGGGGGGGCCCTCGCCCCCCCCCTTCGTCGACAGGTAGCTCCTCAGTGCTACTGAGTTTAGCTTCATTTCTACCGTCAATATTAATTCAATAACTGCTTCTAAAGCAAAAACTTCACCAGCGGACATGTTAGAGCGGGAGTCTGACCTGAAATCACGGAGAAATGAACAACATCAACAATCAGGATTACAGCTTTCTGTGACGTTTTCCTCAGGTAAATACTGATATATTAACTACATATGCATACATATAACTAATATATATATATATATATATATATATATATATATATTAACCTCTATCTATCACATAATGTTAGTGTTTATACGTTAACTATGAGAACCAACACTGTGTTTTATGCTTGTCTTTACAGGTACAGCAGTGAGCAGTGACCTACAGTCTACACAGCCCAGTGAAGTTAAACATATTATATATTACATAATATTAACAACATTAGTCAAGCAGTTGTTTCTAGTGAAGAAACAGCCAGTAAATGTACCAAAGTAATCAGAGTAATAGTATAATGATTACTGTAACCTCCCATCTGTTATATTCTTTATACACATTAGTTTACTGAGACCATGGAAACCTGGAATACTTTATCCTGTACAACATGTCAACATAACTGAAGGAATTACTCATCTAATAAAGTAAATTGTTTATGGGGTTGAAAAACTGCTAAGTAACCAACTGTTAACTGTACTGTATCCATATTTCATAGTCTGATATTTTAACTTAAAAGTATTATTACCAAAGTTAACCTTCAGATATTTGTAAAAGCTGCAATTATGTTTAAACCCCATTAAAAATACTGTATACTGAATATTCTATCATTTATATTATATATTGTGATGTAATTTATCTTCCAACATAATAAAGTTTGAATGTGAGACAGTAATGTATTGTGTTGCTTACAGTCATTAATACAGGTTTAAATTTCACATTTTCATATTGATAGATGACCAGATTTTCAACTCTTTCAAAATCTTCATAAAACCTTTGTGAAATAACATGTTATTTATATAAAACCACACTTATTACTGAATTTAAAAATGACCAAAACTCTTCTTAAAAGTAAAACACTTTATTTATATTTCATTCATATTCCAGTTACACAAGTTGTAAGTAACAAAGCTATAACTTTTATGTAAACTGTGCAGATCGTGTTCTCCATCAAGGTTTATGGTTTCTAGTATATTGAAGTGTGAGCTGGTAATGGAGCTCTGCAGTCAGTGTTCATCTTCATCAGTCTTCCTTTGGATACCCAGACTGTCCTGATGCTGCAGCTGTCTCTGTCCTCTGATGGGTCCAGGAACACCTGAGCTTCATCAGGTCACCTGTAAAACATGGAGGATTCAGTGTTACTTGTAAGACAGCATATAATATACAGTATATACAGTGGCTCAAAGTAGTCCTAAGTTATAAAATAAAATAATAAGCAGTGTCACTGGTGGGTTCCTTGTTGCAGCTAACTGTAGTGATGTGTTGTTGAAACAGTCTGAGGTTACCAACACAATGTCTATCTAATGGCAGCAGATACACACACAGGACATTTACTGACTGTAACTGATGTTGTAAGTTCCCGGTGCAATAACAGACATTTAGCAGTGAGCCTCAGTGTTTATAATACAATAGGAGATTATTTGAGTATAGGATGTTACACTGGACCTACACTTATATCGTCAGTAATAGCAGTACTTCAGTAACGCTAAATAAATGGATCAGAAAACTTTTATTCGTCGGTTTGACTCCACATAAAGCCTAGTGAGCAACCCCAGCTGCTGGGTGCTAATCAAAGTTACAGAATATTACTAAACTAATGAATCCCTGCAGTTTGACTATTTCTCTCTCACTGTAGCTCTATTGTTAACTAGATAACGTTAGCACGTCAGTATAAAGTTACACAAAAAGCAACATGAAAACCACCAGGCTCCAACCTTCTTCTTCTTCTGTCCCAGTCCAGCTCCACCAATAGATTCAAAAACTCTTTCGTCCCCCTGGCCATCAGATTGTACAACAGCTCTCAGTAAAGGCAGGGAGGACAATAGATAGGAGATCTCTCCTGTACTAGCTTCTCTGCACTGGCTCCCTGTAAAATGTAGAATAGAATTTAAAATCCTCCTCCTGACCTTCATGGTCAGGCCCCTTCATATCTTAAAGATCTCATAGTACCCTATTACCCCTCTAGAACACTACGTTCTCTGAATGCTGGGCTACTTGTGGTTCCTATAGTCTCTAAAAGTAGAACAGGAGCCAGAGCCTTCATTTACCAAGCTCCTCTCCTGTGGAACCAGCTTCCAGTTGTGGTTCGGGAGGCAGACACCCTCACCACATTCAAGAGTAGGCTTAAGACGTTCCTCTTTGATAAAGCTTATAGTTAGGGCTGGATCAGGTGAGTCCTGAACCATCCCTTAGTTATGCTGCTATAGGCCTAGACTATCGGGGGATTTCCCATGATGCACTGAGCTTCTCTCATCCTCTCCCCCTCTTTCTGCACTCATTCATGTCCCATTAATGCATGTTACTAACTTCACTTCTTCCCCGGAGTTCTTGTGCTTTCTCGTCTCGCAGGTTCTTATCGATCCTGGTGGAGCCTCCTGCCATGGTCCTGCTAGATTGCCATTGCCAATACTGTTGTTGCTGTGCACCTGTCTGTCTGTCTCTTGCTCTCTCTCTCTCTCTGCCTCTCTCTCTCTCTCTCTCTCACCCCAACTGGTCGAGACAGACGACCACCCACCTAGAGCCGGAGGATCTGTCCTAGGTTTCTGCCTTTTAACAGGCAGTTTTTCCTTGCCCTTGTCGCCAAGTGCTTGCTCATGGTGGTACTGTTGGGTCTCTGTAATTAATGTTAAAGAGTGGTCTAGACCTGCTCTATTTGAAAAGTGTCCTGAGATAACTTCTGTTATGAATTGGCGCTATACAAATAAAATTGAATTGAATTGAATTAGATAATAGACAATGGACAATTTCTGTCTGTATTATGCACATCCATTTGCACTGTCTACTGTTTGCACTGTTTATTGTAGCTACTGTTAATTTGATATTATATATATATATATATATATATATACTACTTTATATTTTATCTTCTATTTTATTTTAAGGTTAGTAATTTTAATTTTAGTCTAATGTATGTTTAATGTATGTTTTGTATTTTGTATACTACTGGATACCTGAATTTCCCTCGGGATAAATAAAGTATCTATCTATCTCTCTATCTCTCTATCTATCTATCTATCTTCTCCGTTAGCGCGCCAGCTACCTACACGTAACTTCCAGGGCACTGAGCCTACTGTGCTGTGTCAGTCAAAAACTGATTAGCCAATGGGGACACTCTGCTGATAAAGCCCGCCCACCCGAGAGGTTTGTGCCAAAACTGCAAACAAAAAATCAGGGAGCGCAAACGAGAGAGCATCAGAGAGACCGCAAAGTCGAGAGTCAGCGCAAAAGTCTGAGCTTAGAGAGAGAAGCAGAGGGAACCGTAAACAAAATAACGTCAATATTTTACACTATTTGACAAATTATTTGATTGCAAGTTATAAGTTTTATTTTTTAAATTAGTTTTATGTTCTCTCAAATTCCTATTTTTGTTTGTTTCTTTTGGCACAAATCTAATTCCATATCTTACCGGTTCTATGCAGCTCAGCGCGCTAGCAGCTGATGAGCAGCTACAGTTTGTTCACAGGTTTTCTGCTCTTTCTAACAGCGACACAAACACATTACTGACTGAGCACTTTAACTAAATACAGACCAACGTAAAGCCAATTACCCCCGACACAAAACCCACAACAGTAACGGAGTTACCCCCCCCTCCGGCACGAAGCTTGGTGATTCTCGGTATAAACTTATAATAAACTTTGTGTGAATCTCTATAAAAATATCAGCAGGGGAGAATATGGAGACATCTGCACCAGCTGGTTAATAAATTAACTTCACCTTATAAGTTTCATGTTCATCTTTTAACATTTAACAAACATTTAACAAACAATAACTACGTTAGCATCACTGAGGCTCCTGCAGCTAACAGTGGTTAGCATGTGCTAGCATTACACGAACAATGAAAAACAAAGTATAAACTCTTAAAAATACTTACAGTTATTTCCTCTGCCGTCTCTCCACAGACAGTTGGTACAATCCCTCTTTCAGGAACAGTCTTTCAGTCAGTCCAGTGTTGTACTGACCGAGGTTGTGAAAGCAGTCCGACACGAAGGTTCACACACACCTTCCGGTTTTTGTGACATTGCCGTAAAAAAATAATTTACATACATTTACATAAATTTACATATGTAAATTTGTGTTGGGCTGTGCAGCCAATGACTGAACAGTTTGTCTGCTGAGGCCTTTGCCCAGACATTAGGCTGCAGGCTGCAGGCTGGACTTGCTTGTTCTCCGCTAGCTTGCCTTTTATAGTAACAATGGCGGAGCTCCGATAGTCAACAGGAAGTAAAGAGAGGTGGGTGGCAACAGGCAGAGCATGTGACATCACAAACTACACACTTCTGAACCTGCGTGATTTCTCTCCTATATTCTGACTGAGGCAGCCCACAAAAACATGACTGAGTCATTTTTTTTCATACTTTGCCTGCTGATAGGCCCTCCAGAGTCCCAAATAATACATAATAGTACATAATCAAATGATTAAAAAGTTGGTTTTGCATAATATGTCCCCTTTAATCTTGTTTGATCTTTTGAATTTTTCTCCCCTCTCTTTGGCTGTATTGTATCCTCATTTCTACAAGACAATGTTTGTTTTATGGGCAATGTATGCATTTATTAGAGAACTGGTAGAGAGGCTCGGCTGTAGCTCAGGAGATTGAGCTGCCCATCCACTAATCAGAAGGTTGGCGGTTCGATCAAAGTGAACGATACTGTGCCATTTATGTGTGATATTTACTTTCTGTACTTTCAGTGTGATATTTTCTAGCATCTGCCATCAGTGTGTGTGAATGGGTGAATGTGACATGTAGTGTAAAGTGCTTTGAGTGGTTGGAAAACTAGAGAGGTACTATATAAGTCCATTTAGTCCATTTAAACCCCCAAACCACTTTCCTGCTGAAAACCTATATGGGTATTTAGTGCAATTGATTCAGGTCCAAATCTGGACGTTTAAGCAAAGTATCTAAATTCTACATATTGTGCAATGAAAGTGCTTAGCCACTGCCCCTCTACTAGTTGAAACCAGCTATTGCAATTGAATTTATCTATTGGGTGATCTGGAGGCAGGTGACATATGTTGTGGCAGCTTTCGTCACCAACCCAGAACCCTCTGGGAAGTTGTCATAGGAAACTGTTTGAAAAAGGGCAAGCACTGCACAAAATACTCAGCAGGTGACTGGATAGATCATCTATCTGTCACCATTTATCACAGACAAATTTCAACCAATCAGATCAATGAACCATATAACATAGTCAAACTCTTAATAAAGCCAGTCGGGACAAGAGTGAAAACATCTTTTCCATGGAGAAAAGCCTTCTTTGCTATTCTGAACGAAGAAAGTTCTGATATAACTGATGCTAGCAGAATCTACACTAACCTCTTTAGCAGCTGCTGCTGTTGTTTTTGGAGCACGCAGTCACTTCTCACACATGTTGTCACACACATAGTGTTAAAACATGCCAGTAGCTCATGCCATAGCTATCAGTAGTTCCTTATAAGACTCTGATTTGTCTGAACCACTGTGGTAGGACACAAGCCCATAGCTTGAAGTCGGGCAAGATGGATTCCCAAGTGATCTCATGAGTCCAGCTGACGAGCAAGGTTACTGTGGATCTCCCTGCACAACAATGATTAGAATTTGTTGTATTTTTTTCTGTAATTCTCATCTCATTTTATTGACAACAATTTTCCCTTTATTTTTTTTAACCTTCTTTAAACTTATTATCATCCTTGTTTTACTGTTTGACTATTACTGTAAACGGACATTTACATTTTCTGACACGTCTGTCCAAAGCAACTTAAATTTTTTTCCTCATGCACAGCAGTTTGGGGTTTCATTGTATTGCTCAGGGATACCTGAGAGTAGCTCTTGGATCGAACCACCAACTGTACAACTAATAGCCACCCCACTCTACGAACTGAGCCCCACAAGCTCTTACTGTAAACACTAGTTCATTCAGTGATCAGATGATTGGTCAGCCCATCGTCAGAATTGGAGCCAGAGGAAGTGAGATGTATTGGTGTATTCCATGCAGGCACAGAGCTGAAGATGAAAGGGAGAGGCAGCAACCTGGATGATGTCTGTGCCTCACACAGCCAGTGTCACTTCACCACACTGTGAATCAATAAGAGGCCATTCCTGCATTTCAAGTGCTCCCCTGTTCACTCCCACAGAGCTCCCAGACAATAGGGCCAGCAGATAACATGCTCTGAACGTTAATAAAAGTCATGGAGTTTTACAATCAGCTGCACCAGCATACAGATCTAGCATGATCCTGGGAACACTACCCAGCAATCATCTGTGCAACAAAACACTAAGCTTTTACACAATGTGTTACTTTAAAACAGACACACACACAGCTAGTGCCCAGTACTGAGTACTGTCAATTCTCCGGTGAGTATGGAATACCCAACACTGAGGTCCCCAAGGTATGGACCTCAGTATTTTTTCCAAAGGGTATACAATAAAACTTGTGAAATAATTGCCTAAAAGAATAACTACTTTGATGCCCTAAAGCCCACCTAGCAAGTTTAGTTTTTGGACCTTGGTATTTCTAATCATCATATTGAAAGTATTAGCAGACTGAAATGATGCTGGCGCATCCTCTATCTGTGTCCTACTCTGTCTGTCTGTGTGAATCTATCGCGGCGTCACCCATTGCTTTGTGGAGTACCGTTTTGAAGTCTTGAGTTTGGCATTATGGTCATTGCCAGACGGTTCGATGGAGCCAACGGAGGTGACGTACTGCAAATTGAGCCGCTGTCATGGCTCTGCAGTTTCGTCTCGTCCATAGCAGGAAACAATGGCGGCTCACCTGGTCACACACAATCTTGTATTATAGCTAAACAGTACAGTAAAATATGTTTCTGAGAAAATTTTAAGTGAGAAATAGGCAACGCAGTGACAGTCAATCAATCACAAGGTAGCCACACCTCAAAGCATATGTGGCTTTATCGTCTATTTTACTCTAAATTGGACCATAATTTACTAAATGAAAATCCTGCTGTAGGTAAATAACATCCAGTTTGAAATGGATTCAAATGAACACATTTGAACACTTTATTAAGGAAGAAAAGCCTCCTGTTCCTTGATGGATGAATGAAGTAGGGGGTCTACTGCCTACAAAGGTTTAGTTCAGTGTTGATGTGTTGAACTGGAGACCCAGGATGGAGTTGGATTTCATCCTTGTACTCATGAAAGCACTCTACTGACCAGTTCTCTCACAATTCAGCTAATAACATTTCCATGGAATTGGCTTGTTGAAAACACACATTCATATAAATAATTTAGTTCATTTTAAATCAAGAACAAAAAACTCATGGATTCTAAACACTGGGGTCAAATACTGGTTTAACCCTCATATTTCACATGCTTGTTAACTATCTTATCTTTGTATCTTAAAGTTAAAACTGCAGCTTTAACTCAACTTGTTTCCCTCATTTCAGCAATCTTTTGTAAATTAGTTTCAGTATCTTAAAAAAAACAGATGTAAATGGATTGATGCATTAGTATCAATGAAACAACACTGTAATAAATTCAGGTGGTAAAGGTTGAGAGATCCTGAGAAAGATGTTTTTATGTCTTATAGTAGGCGTACAGCCATGGATGATCCACTCTCCACTAAAGATAATCTTCAGCAATGCTTTTTAGTACACAGCTATTTTGCTGCCGTAGAAAAACATAAAAACTGCATTAATGCGTTAATCATACATTTCCAGCAGCCTCTGCAGCTGCAGCTGTTTCTGTTGATAAGCCACATTTTAATGTCTGTCTTACCAGGTTAGAGGCTCCTCGCACCGTCTCTGGGTTGAGCATGACAATCTCAGTGGTCACATGACCCTCCACAGCCTCCGTCATCTGCTCCACAGTACAGTTGATGGATGGGTCATTGATCTTAAACCAGTTGTCAGCGTACCAGCCAATGAGGAACCAGACATACTTTTTCCCATACAGCTTCTCCTTGTACACCTGCAGAGTACACCAGGAGGGAGATCTGTGACGCATGAACAGCTACTGAAAGGAAAGGAACTTACATTTGATGTGATATATATATATATATATATATATATATATATATATATTATTATATGCATGTAATTGATGGATTTGAAACATAATTTAGCATTCATCATGCCCCGTCTATCTGACTGAAATGTACGTAGGTGATACTTCAATGGAAGTGTTGGCCATGTTGGGTCAGTCAGTCTTAAGGTTGGAATTAATTATGTGTGGTCTGGGTGGTTTGGAGATACTGAGTTTTCAAATAGCAAAACTGACATGCAGTTAAGTGCTCTTTTGTTATTTTCTTTATTAAGTACCACCTTTAAAGGTAAAATATGTAATATAGGGGTGTATTAAAACCTCTCGAAATAATTGGTAAATTACTTCCTTGTTTAATTGTTATTGGAACAGCGAGTTAAAATTAAGGCTTAGATCACTTAGTGTGAACTCTGCATTCATTATTTTTTCATTTTAGAGAACAGTGTAAATTAAATTTTTGCCTGTAATGTCCAATAGAAGTGTACACCACTCTCACACATGTATTCTGGGTGACCTCCAAGTATATATGTATAAGTTACTTACAGTCCTAGTTTACATAATATTGGTTGTCTATGATGGAAAATTCATAGCAAAAGAGACCAACAAAAAAATAAATTAATACCTGGATGGAGAATATTGGAAAATATCGGGTATATTGTGAGCGGACATTAGAACCCAGTATGAAACATTTTAAAAAGACTCTTGCATACAAGTAGCAGGGAGAACACATTACCTCACAGAACACCTTCCTGGCCTCCGTCTCATAGAACAGACCAACAATAATTCTGGCATCTTGGCGCTTGGAAGTGAAAAAGAAACGGACAGAGTCACAAATGGTGCACAAGTTAAAGCCCTGCAGTATGGAGCCAACCCTCCTTCCAGCCTGTGCACCACACAGCGGTACATTTCCTCTCTACTGGGTTACATTGTTGCTGTTACCATGGTTTCTTCTGCAATGGCCAATTCATTCTGCACACCAAAACTAGGCCAGCATGCTGGGCAAGGTCATTGTAAAGTGTGTGTGTGTGTGCCAGAAAAGAAGTAAGTCAGGACCTACACAGGTGAGGGAAGGAGAGGAGGAAGGAAGGGAAGGAGACAGGAGAGGTACAGAGCTAAGATAGAGGTTCAGGATCCCCATTAAAACCAATGTGGAGACATTTGTGGTTAAAACACAGCAGACCCCAAATCAGACTCAACTAAAAAAAAAAAAAAGGTTTAGTACACAGTTTTGTGTTGCATTACAGCAATACAGTTAGCCAATCACACGCTGCCCTGAAACAAAACACTGTCTTGTTTTTGAAATTCAAGTGAAATTCAGTGATGGTTGAATGCTTCGACTCATGGTTTATGGCTAATTTCAGCTGCAAACAGGGACGTTTCCAAACATGTTTGACTGGAGTGGCACAAGTGGGGCACTGACTTATGCAGGGGTGGCATTAAATGTGTCGCAGCTTTACAGTAATTCCTCAACTTGTACCCCAACATTGACGAGAAGTACTTAAAATGCTCAGAATAATTTTAATAAAATATTTACTTATATATTTATATATATATATATTTATTTAAAAGCATTTACAGTTCCACGACTACCCAGCTACTCAATCTGCTTATGAAAAGTGTGTGATACAGTGAAAGACCACACTGTCTTTGAATTTGAATTTCAAGAGAGAAGTTGTCACTTTCTGAAGGGATCTGTATCAAGGTGGACATTTTAGTGATCATTAATGTACTGTATCTGAGAACACTTTAATATTGGCTTCAAAACAGTATGGGCATGAGACTGCTTTTGTAATTTCTGGGCTATTGTTGTTAAGTATCAAGTAGCTCTCTGTGATGAACTGGCCAAACAACATTTGACTGATTGGCGTATGTGTAAGAAAAATGGGGGGGATCTGGCACCTTGAGATTTTTGACAGCCACAGCGGGGTCGGTGAGGAAGCTCTGACGAACGCTGATCTCAATGCCTGCCTCCGCCACCCTGTCCTCCAGATCATCCAGAGTCTGTCAAACACAGAGAGACATACACAATAATGAGCATGTAGAAGATGACAGAACAAGAGAGACAGCTAGCAAAATAGGAGTGGGAGAGATAATGGAATGGTAGGTCGGAAGAAATTTGAAGAAGAGTAAACAGCAATTGAAGTAAGAGCGAAGCAGTGAGGGGGAAGATGAGTTAGAGGTTTAGAAAGATGATGGCGGGTGCGTGGGTGATGATACCAACAAGCAGAGAGAAGGAGAAAGAAACCAAGAGAAGGTAGACTTGATAGTAGATGGGGATATAGGCGAGGGAAAGGACCACCCCCCGACACCTGGCCCATTTTCACTTCCAGCATCTGGATTTTCCTGTATATGGTACCTCTCTAACTAGATTTAAACATGCCTGCAACTATGTTTTGATGGACACACAGTATCATATTTTAATTTCCATATCTTATACTGGCCCTGCAGCAGCCCTTCCGGTCTTTTTAAGCTCCCCTTCCCTAAAAGTCCTTTTTTCTCGTTTTTACAGTCAAAAAGCCTCGAGGCAGCATTAAAACCATTGTAAATTCTAAATTTGTATATGCCGGTGGATGTACAGATAACATGCAATGTCTATTCATCCATTAAGTCCTTTTTCATCATCTTTAAATGGTTCCGAAGTGGAGTCATAAAAGCTCAAAATTAAATTAATTCCTATCCCAATATTGCCAAATTTTTGTCACTATGACAAATTTGTTTTTTTTTACTTTTGGAACAAAATCTGACAACCTGAAAGTTTTGTAATTTTTGAAACATTGGGTTCTTGATTTCAGACAGGTACAATAAAGCAGCTTCTTCTTTCTGGGATTTTGCTTATTGTTAACTGAACATGCTAAGCACACTGTTTAATATAGTCCTTACACTTTTGTAAGTCTTTTGGTGTTTGACAGGATAAAGAAAGACAACACACAAAATCTTTAAATGCCAAGAATCTCTCTTACTTGAGCTCCATGCACACTGCTTCAACATGCAGAGAAATCCAAAGCTTGACAGGCCTGCTGTGTCTAGTTATGGTTGTTGAGCTACGACTGGACAATCGCTGTTCAGGGGACTTAACAAAAGTTAACAGAGGAGATCAAAATACAATCACTAAGGAGGGAAGAAACTTGGGAAATTGGGGTGCTATAACAAAATCTATGACAGTACGTTTAAATACTGATGATTGAGGTTTTCTGTTTTAGTACTGTTTGCTACTTTTCAACATTTTAGCTAAACACATGACTCACTGATGTAAAAACTTCTGTTGTTTGCTGAATGGTGGCAATCTTGGTCCATTTCCACTTCTGGAAGAGCTGTACTCGAGTGGGGTTATGCAGCGTGGCAGAAGGATGAGTGCGGAAGAAAGTGGGAAAGCGCTGGCGGTTGGACAGAGCCGGTGAGCTGGAGCCATACGACAGCTGAGACACAGGGAGACAGAGACAACCATGTTAATGCTAGCATGATCCTGATAACTTACACTGCTGCAAAACAATGACTAAAAACAACATCTGGGAACACAGAAACAACACAAAAATAGTTAAAGCTAATGTTAGAAAGCAGTAGGCATAAGGCCATATGAAAATTTCATGTCACAATTTGCTGGCCAAAATGACTGTGATACACGATATTGTCACGAAAATATACTTCATACTTTTAAAATAACACTAAAATATACTGGAATTACTTTACCTTACATATTGTTAAGAAATGCATATTTATTGTATCACAGATAGCAACCTCATCTCCCTGTTCTTTATTTTGGAATCTATACTATTTCCACACATCTAATTTAACTGTTTTTGGCTTGGGCAAGTTGAGCCATGGTGACAGGGTTTGGAATGACTGGAAAGATTTGGTCTCCTTCTTGTACCATTGTTCAAAATTAACCAGGAAATCAATAAAGGGCTGTATGCTGGAGAGCTACAGCTTTTTCAAGCCAAGCCATGTGAGGATATTCATGATTCACAATTATCATAAATGTGAGTTTTTTTTATCGCAATATGTCATAATATCATATATTATATAAACATTACTTACCAAGAGTCAGGTATTTACTGTATTTAACACATTTCAGCGCTGTCGAGGGCTAGAATTGACATTGCTCAGTCTAAGACTAAGGCCCTGCAGACAGCCTGGGGGAATACATGAGAATGGAGCCATAATCAGTTTATAGTACAACATCCTTCAGATAAATCACACTAAATTCAATTTGCATTGAATGCCTGTAGTTTTAGGCAGTACATTATAAAGTGGACAATGACAAAGAAATATGGCACACAGTCGTACTGTAGGAATCAGAGGAAAAGGTCTCTAACATAAAAATAGCAGTGCATATTAAAAATGAAGGAATATGTCTGAAGGTTTTTTTAGTGTGAGTGCACTTTACTAGCATTCCCCAAAGAGCAGAATGACATTAATGCTGCACTTTGCTCCAAGCTCAGAGATGTTAGTCTGGAAGGGTCCTTACCTCCAGACAGCCACACTGATGAGTAATTGATCTGTTTATTGGACGCTTTAGAGGCAACTGTAAGATGGCTCAGTGTCTACATCCCTATGTAGCAAACAATAGATTGGTGTCTTTGTAGCATATAATGTATGGGTAGTACAAGGAAATATATCATGGAGTGGGAATCAGGGGTATGTCCAGAGAGGGGACCTGGGATGGCACTGGCATCCCTTGAAATGTGACTGGCCATCCCAATATCCTTACCTCTTCCAGTCTTTCAGAGGCTGTAGTGGGTTCAGTTTTAAAGCTGGAGTGGAGAACTGGTATCATATGAAACTAGAACCATGTCAGGACAGGAGGGGGGTTAAATAATGCTCCGAAGTTAGGCAAACTTTTGGAAATAGAAAAACGGAATATTTGGGGATGCCTTAAACTTTGACCTCAATATATCTGCATGAAAATAGGTTCTATGGCTACCTGTAAGATAGATGTTGCCAGAGTAGGTCAAAAGTAGGAGGCAGACTCGGGACATTGTGGTAGAAGTCCCTTGGTGTGGGCATTTATTCAAGTGCTTCCCAAAATGTGAAAAGCAACAAAAAAAAAACAACTAAACATATTTACAAAAAAACTGAGGAAAAATCAACTCATACTAGATTGAAATTAACAGCACTTGTCCCAGCCGCAATTTATCTCTCCCCACTTCTCCTCGCTTACCTTAAGGGAACTGACCCTTATACATTTCTTACCTGCCTGAAGACTAGACGTGGATTAAACCATCCTCACTTCAGGTGGTATTTATTTACAGATATCTTTTACCAAGACACAAGCTTCAATAAACATTACCCATAATATCACTCAAATTTTCTATGGTGTATGAATGTAACACCAACTCAGTATTCCCCATCATTCATAAAATGAGAACGAAACAGAATTAAATATACAACTTATTCCCCCGTTAACATGGTACGCCCCTGACGTAATTGGTGACGTCATCGTATTCATTTAACCGGCACATTGAGGGGCGGCCCCCTCCCACACACGGCTTTCGGGGTCAGGTAAGATACATACTGAAATTAAAGCTGCAAGCAGCGTTGAACACATGCGAACCACAACATGAAAATTTCACGTAAATCAGATCAAAATAGCCACGCAGCGCTTACTTCCTGTTAGTAGGTGGCACTCTCACTATATCTGAATATTGTCACATAGACAAGTTCAGGGTGGGACTCGTTCGGTCTAGACCTGCTCTATTTGAAAAGTGTCCTGAGATAACTTCTGTTATGAATTGGCGCTATACAAATAAAACTGAACTGAAATTGAATTGAATTGACTCTTATAAAATATGTGAAGTTTCATTGAGATAGGACCATGTACACTGAAGTTATGAGTATTATATTTTTAAAAGCCTCTTCTGACCAATTAAAGCTGATCTAATCATCCTGCAACAAGGAGCAGTATAAAACAATTCTTCCTGTTGCCAGTAGGGGGCGCTATGACAACGAGTTAATGTTGGCATTTTCAGTGCAAAACTAATCACACACCAAGCCAGAATTTATTTTCACGTTAAAATTTGAGGTAAAGAATATTTTTAAAATCATTATGCTGTAATCAGTATTATCAAAATTATTAGATCATAATGTTATAATAATCTTATAACCTTAATACCTACAAATATTTGCAGTCTGTGCATGTCAGGGTGTGGTGTGTGATGCGACAGCTTATCATATGTGGACCACAACATTGAAATATCATGTAAGATTAAAATTGCCATGCAGCGCTTACTTCCTGTTGCCAATAGGTGGCGCTCTCATTATATCTGAATATTGTCAAATAGACGTGTTCAGGGCGGGACTCTTATCAAATATGTGAAGTTTCATTGAGATCAGATAATGTACACTGAAGTTGTGAGGATGTGTTCAGGCTAGGACTGTTACAGAATATGTGAAGTTTAGTGGACATTGGACATTGTACACTGAATTTATGACTATCTGTTTATGGTGAATGGTCGAAATTCAACGCAACGTCACGTCCATTCCCTTCGACAGAATAACGTAAATAGCAGAACTTTTAATCATGAATATCTTCAGATTGCGCTAATTAAATTTGAAGTTGATCCGATAAATTCCCTGGGAGGAGTTCGTTCAAATACAACACAAAAATTCACTAAAAATGACAAAAAAAAAATAATAAAATGGCTGACTTTGATGCCACTCCACGGACACGCCCTTTAATGTACATGCACAAATAGCACAACTTTTAATCAGCACCATTTTTTGACTGTATTGACCAATTTTGAAGTATTGACCAATTTTGAAGTAGATCCGATAAATTCCCTCGTTCAAATACAAGGCGAAAAATTCACCAAAAATGCCCACATAATTCAAAATGGCCAACTTTGACGGCACGCCACGGACACGCCCTTCAACGTACATGCACAAATAGCACAACTTTTAATCAGAACCATTTTTTGACTGTACTCACAAATTTCGCCGAAATGGTCCACTTCCTTTTTTGACGAAAAATCCACAGGAAGTGTTAATTTTATAACATGCTTATTTTTTTAATATCAAAATTCTTTGAATTACTTTTTTATAAGGACGGTCCCCAGATGCTACGTGAAATATTTTGTGCCGATCGGACAAAGCACATGGGAGGAACACGAAAAAGTAGTTTATGGACATTTAGGTTTATGGCACTCTAGGAAAAAAAAAAAAAAGAAAGTCCTTAAAATTTACACTTTATATGTGCTAAATCAAACAAAATATATAATTAAACGAACAATAAAAATTACTGGAAAACACAACCTTTGCCTGCCATTATTGTTGTAACCTTGATTGATGGAATTGAAGATTATAAAGAAATAACGCTGAACACAAAACAGACCCGCTATAGTAGTGTGCACGTGCGTTACCAGCTGAAATTAATTTATGGTTATTGTAAATGAATAAACAAAAAGGTGTACAAATGACACAACAGGTAACCTAACAAGTAAATACCTAAATAAATAAGTGACAAATGGCAGAGATGAGTCTACTTTGTCACAGTACCCACTCATCTCCCCTTTGAAGACATGCCCACATGCTAGTCCCATGCAATTTTGGGAGAAAAAAACTTGTGCCTCCCCAGTCAAAAAAGGTTTTTCAACTTAACTGTTAAAAGTTTAAAGCTGAGTGTAGGACTTTTCTGTTATACTAAAGCCCTTGGCAAATGAGTTTACACAATGCTGATTAAGCCAACCACTGTCAAGCAGGACACTCAGGCTGTTTGAGGTGCGAAAAGCTGAAAACCACTGAGCAGCTTTCTTAGGAATGAACAAAGTGCCACCTCCAACACTATATCCAGTTCTCTTTATACATCCATGCACTGGCTGAACTATGGGAGGTATCCGGAGTTTTTTGAAAATGACTAAGCTTGTCTATTAGATGCAAGAGGTCTCACTTGGGTTTAGTTTCGTTGGCAATTGGTTGTATGTCTAAAACTGAAAATAATTGTTTGCTTTCTTGGGCCCAAAGAGTTTTTTGTTGAGATAAGGACTCAGTCATTGTTAGTTGAACTGTGGGCTTTGTATTGAGCACTGGCTGTAATACTGGCACATACACATTGCAGCTTTAAAGAGTGAAACTTTCAAATTGCAAGAGCTGTGAATTTGAATTACAACTTGGGGCCTCAGAATGCTTTCAACAAAGTGCTTATTGGATCATCAGTGTCTCAAACCCCTTTCCAACACTATGGGAGATGATTTCAAAGCATTTTTTAGGTTTCTGAAACAGACACTTTTCAAATTATAGCCACGTTATGCAATGATAGGTCAGTGTGCGGAGGTGAGAAAGCAAGCAGGGTTTAAACTTCTCTTTCCTTTCATTCTTCACACAACTTCTCACATTTCACGTGTAGAACTGAGTGCAACACTTTGAAGAAGATACAGCCAGGAGGAAGCAGAGAGAGGCCATTTAGAACAGGCATAATTACTTTTGCCTTTAGATGTTGCTGGACGATACATGTTGTACACACTAGTTTGAACTAGCTTTACATCGTTAAGCTTAACAAGCTACAAAAAGTATTCTGAGAGTTAACTATAACAGCTGGCAGATTTACTCAGCTGCAGCTCATTAATGTTAATTCTCATTTTGGTTAATATACACTCTGTATGCCGGTGTCTGTACAATTTATGCTCGACCAAATATGGCTTTCCTGAGTTAAAAAAAAACAACTCTGGCATTGTGTTTGTTCAGTAGAGCGTGCATTGCACATATGTGTGAGTAGGGGATGTAGCAAGTGTGAACCGGTTGTCACTCATTGGTTTGTGGAGTACTGTTTAGAAGCCATGAGTTCGGCATTATGGCCATCAACATGTTGGTTCAGTGATGTACTGCGAGTTGTTTAGACCATCAACAGTATATATAATCTTTTTCATGTTCATCATCATCAGTCACTACTATTAGTGTAGTTGTTGCTACTGTTGTTGCTGTCTGTCTGTCTGTCTGTCTCTCTCTCACTCTCTCTCTCTCATATCTCTCTGGCAGATGACCACCCACCTAGAGCAGAAGGGTCTGTCCGAGGTTTCTGCCTCTTAAAAGGTAGTTTTTCCATGCCCCCGTCGCTAAGTGCTTGCTCATGGTGGTACTGTTGGGTCTCTGTAAATAATGTTATAAGGAATTCGGTCTAGACCTGCTCTATTTGAAAAGTGCCCTACGATAACTTCTGTTATGAATTGGCGCTATACAAATAAAATTGAATTGAATTGAATATAATGGACAGACCTTTCGGGTCTGTGAAGTGAAGCCAACGCAGAAGTTTCATAAACCTGCATTCTATCTAAAAGCCAGCAGGGGGAGCTCTGTGATGCCATGCAGTCTTATGAAGAAATAAGCCAACTTCTGACTTGATTAATTAGCTCAGAATGAGTTTGTCTCAATCTTTAGTTTCAAGTCTTCTACCATACAGCATGATACAGCATTTAGTAAATTATGGTCCCATTTAGAGTAAAATAGACAATAAAGCAGGGCTTTATTTATTAGCGTGGGGTTGTGGTGATTGACAAGTCATCAATGCACCAAACTTAGATTACCTTCAGAGGTCCTCAAAAACAAGAAACACAACATTTATGTGTTCTTTTTTTCCTTTATCATAGAAAATTGGACTCTTCAGGCTCTATTTTCATGATCCAAGCAGCACGGTCAGATCACACTCAAGTGCTTTCTGACCACTATGTTGAGGATGCCAAACACTCACCTGGCACACAATTGGATATTGGGGTGGGTTCAGAAAGAATTCATTATTATAAATTATAGGTAGGTATGTTAGAGGTTGTGACAATCATGGCCAATCATTATACTCCTTTCATCCCGTTTAAACACAGGGCTCGCAATGATGCACTGACCGTTTTGGAATACTATGGACAGTTTTCCTCAGAGGAAAATTAATACAGCTGCCAAGATTAAGAGTTTAAGTTCACTTTTCTGGTCATGTTGAAGATCCATGTTTTGTGTTCAGTTCAGTGTCTAGAATTCAGTGGCATCTGGTGGTGAAGTTGCAGATTGCAACCAACTGAATACCGCTCACCTTGAAAGCATGTAGGAGAAATTATGGTTGCCGTGAAACTCATGTAAGCCCCATCTAGAGCCAGCGTTTGGTTTGTCTATTCTGGGCTACTGTAGAAACATGGCGGTTCAACATGGCAGACTCCATCGAAGAAGACCCGCTCCCTCTATAGATAAAATCAGCTCATTCTAAGGTAATGAAAACGCAACAATTCTTATTGTCAGATTATACACTAATGAAAACGTACCTATGAATATTATATTCCATTTCTGACAATAGCCCCTTCTTAATGTTACACACTGGACCTTTATTTGAGTTTTGATGATGAACACTTACAGACTACTACTGATGCCTATATGACCTACATAAACCAACAAGACTTTGCCGCAGTCGCCAAGTGCTTGCTCATGGTGGGAAACTGTTGGATCTCTGTAAATAATGTTATAAGGAGTATGGTCTAGACCTCCTCTATTTTGAAAAGTGCCCTGAGATAACTTCTGTTATGAATTGGCACTATACAAATAAAATTGAATTGAATTGAATTGAAAGACTATCATATTAAAGATTGGCTAGTTCTACACAGTTGTCGCCTTCCATAGTCAGATTTGGTCGGATTCCCCTTGAAATCAATTAAATAACGCAGTGGAAACACTGGCACTGTTGTCCACAGGGGCCGCCACAATCACAACAAATTGAAAGTTCCTTGTTGCTGCTTTAGGTAAAATTTGGAATGCAGCACTTTTACTTGTTACAGAGAATTTGTGCACTGTCCTACTTTAACTAAGATAAGAGTACTTCTTTCACCATATACATACATAAAATGAAAGAATTAAAAATCCAGTCTAGGTCATATTTTCTTTAAATAAGTTTAATTCAGTAAGATTTGACTGTTTGACATGCAAAGATAATTGCTGACAACCTGGAAACAAGATAATTGCAACTTTAATGTCTTATATGTGTAAGCGACATAAACATGAGCCTAGTAATATAGTGATTGAATGAATCAGTTACAAGTGCTAACCCTAACCCTAACCCTTTGCTTCCCTAATTTTAGCGGAGATCTCACTCTAACTATCCCTTAGTAGTCTCAGATTTTTAGCTCTATATATTTAGTGTTAAAAGTGTGGTATGTGTTTATGGAGAAATCCAATATCATGACAAATACCGTGAACTAGAGCAAACTGTTGCTAAAGTTGCTGTTGTGCAGCTAAAATGCAGAGAGCTTGAGATAGTTTCCCAGAGCTAGCACACCAGCTCCAGACAGTGATACTCACAACTCTCCTGCTACTTGTTATGTTGGTTAAATAGAAAATAAATTGAATGACAGCGGGTAAGTCATTTGTTTACCTTGTGTTGACATCTTACCAATCTTTAAGCTATGCACTTGTGTCCAAACCACAGTGGTAACGGACCAATCCGCGTCTATTGAGAAACTACTGGCATTGTGACAGAGCAAGAAGAAACTGTTAATTCAAAACAACAATGGCAATTGTTAAAAAGGGTTAGCGTAGATACTGCTAGCATCTCTTATATCAGCGTATTTCTTCATTGAAAGAAGAGCAAAGTACGGTACTGAAGTAGAGCTCTACAATGCTGTCAGGACCTGAGGGACTGCGACACACTGCAATGATTTCTTTTGCGTGCATGAGTGTAGGGCTCAGAAAAATTGCAGACTTTATGGGGCTAGGGCTGAGGCAGGGCAAGGGCTTGAACACCATGGGCGGGGGCTGGGCTAGAGGTTTTGGCCTGTGTAGGGCTGTACACTGAAGGCTTTTCTCTATGGAAAATACATTTTTGCTCTTCTCCCGACTGGTTTACTAGTTCATTGATCTGATTGGTTAAAGAGATGGTTCAACCTGCAGAGTATTTTTTGAAAGCGCCCACCATTTTACAAACAGTTTCTAAGAACAACAGTTCTGAGTAACAAACCATCTGGCGCAGTCAGGTTAATTAAAGTTACCTGACACACCAATCCTGGCTGGAATAACAAGTTAGCGTTGTGTGCCTCGGTCCGATCCACTTCGTTTTTTCCCATCTACAGAGCCTATACAACCACCGGATTTGTTTTCAGCACACACAGAGTGGAAAGCTAGCAGACCGTGACGAGATATTCGTTGAATTTGAAAAAAAGTGTATTGGATTGGAATCCCACACACCACCTTTAAGACTTTAATACTTCCTGCAGTGTTATTTCTGTATTTTGTTTCCACCTCTGGTGCTAAGTACTCTCTGTGGTGTTTTCACACAGCAGTGCCCAGAGATCACTTATCAAATAAACACAGTGGGCAGCCTCCCTTTTCCTGTGAAGCTGTGTTTCTGTATATGGAGCTCTTTTTTGTTGTGTCATGGTGACTATCACTGTTCATCCCAACAGTCCAATTCTTCTTCTGTTGTTATATTTTTGTCTAGTGTAAACACATCACTATGCTAATACCAGAAAATTCTTTCCTAGAAGGACCAACCAGGCAGTGCCGACATTTTGATTCACTGTTGCATCACACTGCAGTAAACATAAGATAAGTGACAGCTGGATCCACAAACAGAAAGGAGAGGGTTCTTACCACTATGAGGTTCCACATGCGAGCAGCCTCGGCCACCAGCGTGGACACAGAGCTGCAGCCTGGCATCAGCACAATTTTAATCGGCTCCGTGTACAGGAGGTCATACAGCAGCTTGGTGGCCTCCCCTGGATCACACTGCGGAAACACAGACAGGGCAGTGAGTATAAGAAACACACTGTGCCCAACATCCTCACATAGGTAATGCAGTTTATTATTTGACAACTAGGGATGAGCAATAATTATCAAGGCAGATAAATGTCTGTCTGTCTCTCTGTTTCTGTCTCTCTCTCTCTTTCTAACCCAAACTGGTCAAGGCAGATGACCACCCACCTAGAGCCAAAGGGTCTGTTTTTCCATGCCCCCGTCGCCAAGTGCTTGCTCATGGTGGTACAGTTGGGTCTCTGTACATGTTATAAGGAGTTCGGTCTAGACCTGCTCTAAAAAAGTGTCCTGAGATAACTTCTGTTATGAATTGGCGCTATACAAATAAAATTGAATTGAATTGAATAAATGACAATAATAATAATAATAATACATTTTATTTATAAGCGCTTTTCTAAATACTCAAAGACACTTTACATAAAATACAGTCACGGATGTGCTTGGGGAGAGAGTTCCAGAGGGAGGGGGCAGCTACAGAGAAGGCTCTGTCGCCCCAGGTTCGGTGCTTGGTCCTGGGTGGTGGAGTCAGGAAGTTTGCATCAGATGAGCGGAGGCTACGGGATGGACTGTGGCGATGGAGCAGGTCAGTGAGGTAGGAAGGGGCCTGGTTATGGAGTTGTGTGTGAGGAGGAGGATTTTGAACTGAATACGTTGTGCAGTGTGGGTGAGCAGACGAGCAGCAGAGTTCTCGATGTACCGGAGTTTATTTAAGGTTTTGGATGGTGTGCCGTAGAGGATGCTGTTGCAGTAATCGATTCTGGAAGTGATGAGAGCGTGGATAAGGGTTTCTGCAGCAGAGAAGGAGAGTAATGGGCGGAGTCAGGCTAGAGTGGAGTGAGTGGCGGAGGTGATGGATTTGGTGGAGATGTAAAGCTGGACGTCGTCGGCATAACAGTGAAAGTTGAGACCATGGTGAGTTAAGATTGGAGCCAGGAGAGGGCGGTGCCGGTGATGCTGAGGGAAGATTTGAGGCAGGAGAGAAGAATGGTGTGGTTGATGGTGTCAAAAGCTGCAGTGAGGTCCAGGAGGATGAGGATGCTGAGATGACCAGAGTCTGCGGAGAGGAGGATGTTGTTGGTGACTTTGAGGAGGGCTGTTGCAGTGCTGTGTTGTGAACGGAAGCTGGATTGAAATGGCTCAAACAGGTTATTTGAGCAGAGGTGGGTTTTGAGTTGTTTGGCGACTGTACGTTCCAGTATTTTAGACAGAAAGGGGAGATTGGAGATGGGCCAAAAGTTTGACATGATGTCGGGTTTTTTGAGGATGGGGGTGACAGCAGCCAGTTTGAGTGAATGGGGGATTGAGCCAGAACTGAGAGAGGAGTTGATGATTTCTGTGATGAATGTGGAGATAGCTGGTAAACAGTCCTCGATGAGGTGGGATGGGATGGGGTCAAGAACACAAAATTTTGGACAGCCCCCCTGGCGACACAGGGGAGAACTGAGATAGAGGCTGAGAGGTATAGGGGAGAGGAGCAAATGATGGTGTGGGAGTGCAGACAGTGGGGACAGGAGAGGAGGACAGGTTGTTGTAAATGGTGTCAATTTTGGTCTGAAAGAATGAAAGAAAGGAGTTGCATTTATCAGTTGTGAATGAGTTGGAGGTTTTGTCACTGGGTTTGAGAAGTTTATTTACTGAGGAGAAAAGAGCCTTGGGGTTAGTGGAACCAGAGTGTATGAGGTGTGAGTAGTAGGTGGACCGGGTAGTGTTAAGAGCTTCCTTATACTGCTGAAGGTAATCTGGCCATAATAATTTTATTAAGAATTCTTGCAAAACAATTGATAGACTTAATGTTCTATGAAAACCAAAGAATGTTTATGTTTAGTTTCTTGATGAACATTTGAAGAGTTAAAACTGTTGTTGTGTTAACATAGTCAGTTATATTTTTTTGTTAGAATAGGGCTATGGAATAATAAATCATCAATTTTTGCTCACTGCATCTTAGCTTTTCTTACCCTCCACATGTGTGAAAACTACAGGTTATCGACGTGCATTCCTAATGACAACATACAATTAAATAAATAACAAAAACCCTCTTCCAACAGGAATGTGGAATTTGCAGGCTTACTGCAGGTTTCACAATGAAAAGACATTTTAATACCACCCGGAAGAGGTTTAAATATAATTAAACAACAGAAATCACATTATTTACAGTTATTTATAGCCAAAGGAAGGTCTGAAATTAGAACAGAACAAGAAAAACACTACCAAGAAATGTTGCTTTGTTCTGTTTAAGAAATAAAACATACTTTTATTTTTTAAATGCTCCTTAAGGGATAAGCCGTATGATCAGACTGAATTGCTAATCTACCTCATGGATTAACACTGTGTAACAATAAGAAGCTAGGGTGATTACCCTAACCAATTCGTAGTGAGTAATGTATCCATCATACCGCTGTTATTTTCCATCAGTGATGTAGTAGTTGCTCTGAGCAGTGAACATAAATAAGCAGAAAATTCCACTGAAATCGATTTACAACCAGCTGTATATACATCAATCTCTTCAACACTGTCACTCTTTTGTGCTTATTTTCATTAATGTAGCTAGGTAGCTAGCTAGCTATGTAGGATTAGGATGTAGAAAATTAACGCAAACCAAGGGTTGTGTGAGGTGCTGATCAGTGGAAATATACTCTAGCTCCTTATGTATATATCTATATGTTAATTCTTAATCAACAACTTTTTGTCATTACTACCATCAGCGTGATAAGAACTACCTAAAATGACAGAAGCCTTTGATGTTTTAGTTTGGCCCATCTGGGCTTTATGAACTATACTGCAGTCAGCCACCAGGGGGCGATTCCAGATGTTTGGCTTCACTTTTAGAGTTGTCATGTCATCCATCTTTATATACAGTATGTCTATGATTTAACCCTTATCCTCCTCCTCCTCCTCCTAATTTAACAATGCGGATGACAGAGGTGTGGGTTGAGGTGAACAGTCCGATAATTCAAAGTCTTTTAAAGGTCCTGTGTGTAGGATTTTGTGGTATCTAGCAGTGTAGTTGCAGATTACAAACCCCTCGCCTCACCCTCCCTTTCCAAATGTGTAGGAGAAACTACGCGAAACTCGTGAAAAATGCACAAAGCCTTGTCTAGAGCCAGTGTTTGGTGTGTCCATTCTGGGCTACTGCAGAAACCTGGCAGTTGAACAATGTAGAAGAGGTCACGCCCCCTCTGCAGATAAAAACAGCTTATTCTAAGGTAACAAAAACACAATGGTTCTTATTTTCAGGTGATTATACCCAAATGAAAACATACCTATGAATATTATATTCCATGTCTGCCAATAGGGCCTCCTAAATGTTACATACTGGACCTTTAAGTTGCATGCATTTCTGTGTTTTTTTATACTAACACTGGGGGTCACCAAAGTCATACATATTCAAATTCTATACATAGGGATTTTGCTGGGGTATGGCATAAACTGTGATGTTCTATCTGTTACATATACATAATGTAAAGTATGTTATGTACTGTATGTACTGTTTTGTTAAATGTAATAGATGAATGTAGAGAGAAACTGAACACAGAATGGGAGAAGCTCACTATAATAATTGTACAATACACTGTTCCTTGTACATGTAAGTGTGCATGCTACATATAACCATACACAGAGCAGAGCCAGCAACTGGGGGGGAGAAACATTTACCCACCAGTCAGGCCCCATTATCTTGATCTACACATCACAAATGGTCCTCTTCGCTTTCCATTCACAGCCTATAGTCAATGAGAAATCAATAAGCTATTTAAATGATAATGGTGAAGGAGTGGCGACCATTAATCAGAGAGAAAAGGGGTCATGTTTAGATGAGTTCATTTCATTGTGCTTTTTGCCATGTCATGTTCCACACAGACCAATCTAAGCAACGGAGAATATAGAGAACTCTTGATTTGTTAATAAGTATTTCTTGATTGGCAGATGCACAAAAAGTCAAATATGATACAAATATACGCCAAACATGGATTCAAACAGTGTAGGCTCAACCAATAAAACACTGTGCACTGAGCGCAGATATCCTAGCCGTAAGACAAGCCAATAGCTGTTGAACCCATCTTTCACTAATACTAATCCATTCATAAAACAGTTAAAAGCAAAGTCAATAAAAGGTCTTTCTGGTAATTTTTACTGACAGGAGTTACTGCTTTTCCACGCGGGCAAAACTTGTTATCTCCCCTCAGACTGGTGGGTGCCCAGCTAAAAAATCTCCCCAGTGGAGTTGCAGCTATGGAACCATAAAGAAATGTTTCCTTACGAGAAAAAATGAGAAACCCAAAATATGTGTGAGGTGGCAAGAGGGGTCTCCAAACAGTGGCCACCATTGGCTACCCCCTGGCTCCGCCACTGCCATTCTGATCCACTATTTCTGCCCTTAACAACTTAAATCAGGATACCAGCTGGGACTCCAGCTGAGCAGCTGTGCCCAACACACTCACGCACACACACAAAATGCACAAAAAGATCAGAACATGCATGGATAGAAAGCTAAACCCCAAGGTTAAATATTTTTTTTACACATATATATATACACACATACACATCTCCTTGAGAAGTTATGACAACTTCTGCCTGTTTCATGGCGATATGTCGAAATTCAACCCTTTTTTTTGTTTGTGTCTACAGGGCAGGAATGATTCATCTACATTACATTTCACTACAAGCTGAAGGTTTAAAGTAGGAATGCACCGAATTTTCAGTCGATTTTGACTGACATTGGCCTATCTGCAAATAAGATGGTATTCACTGATCAGTGAGCGATCTGTTGTGTCACATCAATTTTGCGCTGGTTAAATGTTGTGTTGGTTATTTCTAACTTGGATATTGGAAAATAATCAGCTCTGTTTTCCAGCAGTGGAACAAACTGAACGAATACCGACGTGCTCCATGCAGCAGCACGGACAGCGAGCAGCTGTTCAGCTCTGTGTCTCACATGTTGGATGAGAAGAGAAACAGACTGAGCTGAATCAAGGCAG